ATATTTCCCTCTTTTGTACCATCACAACTTACCTATTGATTTTAAATCGAATTCTATTAACTTGTTATACTTATACAAAAGACATTTTAATACATGCCTATGTGGCAGGTTGCACAACAATTCGCACTGATTAGACAAAACGTTTAATAAACAAAGAACAAAAAGTGACCATAAAATTATTAATTATTATCACGTTTCTATAATGTATTTTTATTCAACGATAATAACACAATATTATGATTTAATAAATTTAAAGGTTTAAAGTTTATTTAAAGCAAATGATCGCGTTTTACAAACCGCTTTAAAAAAAAAAATAATAATCGAGTTACCCAAGGGATATAATACGAGAAAAATGTATTTCACTATTTCAGTCCATATATTGTACAAAATACACATAGTATGTTATTAATTCACGGAGGCTTAGGTGTCGGAGTAGGGCTCCTGTAAAAATTCGATTATATTTTATCCGAATCCAAGTTTAAAATCACACCTTAGATCATATCTATAATAAATAGATACCTAGATACCTACCTAAAATAAAATAACCGACATCTATATTATTTTATAAATTACTTTTTTTTTCTTATGTACGAAGATATTGTAATATGATTCTAGTCAACGTAGATATACAAAACATGTATTTTAAATAAGAAATAAAAAAAATGAAATTGATTATTTTTTATACCACAGTTATAATACCTACATGCCTGCCTAGAAAACATAGGAAACGAATAGATTATCGAGAAAAAAATTTTACTACGACTTATTAATTCATATGTTATTATATTATACCTATTATACATATTATATACCTTTGCCTTACACGGCTATTCGTGTGGCAACGTTGTGCTAGTCATAAACCTGATTATATAAACTTATATATATTTATACATAAGAGCGGTGAGGGAACAAAATTCAGAGATTGTAATGTGTCCAAGCCACTCAGTAAAATACCTACCAATCAATTTTTCTCATTAGGCTTGATTTTAGGATTTTAATCTGAACCCGCAATACTATATTTTCAACAATAATGTATTATATGTATAAAAAAAGTTTAGTTAAATAATTGTACTATTACATTTAGCTTTCAATACATAATTTAAAAAAATGTTCAATACTATTTTTCTGAACTAGATACTTAACTTTATTAATAAACTTATAACAATATACTTTAGGAATAAAATCAGTTAAAATTCACGTAATATTCACAGTAAATGGTTTTACTTAATGAATTTTAAGTACTGCGTGATGAGAGTTAATTTTACTATAATATATACCTATGTCATACATTTTTGTAAAATAGGTTTCGCTCTGAATCAACTTCAAGAGTGATTTTAAGTAGGAAATTTTGTCTAGTTAATGCAAAATGAAGGTTTTTTTTTATTTACCTTACTTTTCTTAATAATGGGGGAAAACCGAGAAAAAAAAACGTCAGCATATTTTATAAATTCCCCTATTTTGAGTTAATTTTACTAAAAAATCAGTTTTTTGTCCACTTTTATATAAATTATATTATGATGGCAAAGTTAAGAACATAGTTTCTGTTGTTGCCTGAAATTGAAGAATTAACCTTTTATATCGGATAGGATAATACAGTTTCCTGAGCTGCACCACGTGAAGGTTACTTTATTGCACCCCATTTATTTATCTATATTGTTTATACTATTGAAATCTATTATAAGTTATAGTTAAGTTATTTTAATTGGTTTATCATTGATTCAAGCCTTTCATTTTTCTATTTCTAGCCAGTCGACGCATAGCATTATTTTTGTTTTTATTTTAATTATTGTTTATAGTTGTATGATATTTTCTCATTTTGTATCCAATGCTTGCTCATACATTGCATTCAAAACGATAGTTACGTTAATAATGGTACAATAATTGAACAGTCTATCGTAATACATAGTACAAAAAATGTTAAAACAACATTTTTAAATAATACGAGTAAAAATTATGATCTAGAAAATGATCAGGCTACCAGGCCATATTTAGTCCAGGCTAATCCTGGAAAATTCCCATTTCCAGGTCGCGCCCACTCTGTTTCTGTTTCTACATACGAAAGTCATTGTATAAAGTATTTGTATATAGGTAGATAGTAGATATCTAGGATATATAGGTACCTACTATATTTAAGTACACACCTACCTGTAATGACCAATATACTACTATATTTTATTATGCATGTAACCTCACCTTAGATTAAAACTTTAATATATGTGCCATTACCATTAAATTGGAATATAGGTATATATATATATACATAATAAACATTTTTTTGTGGTTTTTAACGATTTTTTTTATAATAGTTTCGGTAGTTTTACAATCACATGGCAATTATCTACGCTTTTTTTTCTTAATTTAGGTTAAAACGACGTACTTAATTATTACCTACCTACCTACCTAAATAAAATGTAAATGTATTGTTGTATGTAGGTATTTTTAAATGGGCAAAAATTAACAAGAAAAATATCAGACTAAAATATTATTATAATATATTTGTAAATGATGCGTTCGTTTTTCGACTATTTAATTTATTTAAAAAAATAATAATAATTACTTATTTAACCAATAATTACTAAAAAATAAATATTTATATTATATTATGTTGAAACTTTCCACCTAGGAACAATGTGAACGGAGCACACGAATTTATAATCTATACTGTTAAAAATAAAAATAGATTAACATATGAAATATTATATCATGTATAATAATATATAAATTGCCAATATCGTATTATAAAAACGTATTAACCTTGAAGACCACCCAACCTTTACATTGTCACATTTTAGCGTTATAATTTTATTTAAATAATTTAATTCCATATGAGTTTATAGTTTCCTACTTTGACATTCAAATCGTTTCAAAATTTCAACACGGAAAAATTCGTGTAAAACTCATTCTATATATATTACCTATTCGAATTGCGTTGAACACCTACCCAGTGCAAATTTTATTTACAGGTCATAACAAATTAATATTACCATCGCAGTAATTTTATATCGTAGGTAGGTAGTAGGTAGGTACCTATTATAATATTAGAATGGCTGATTTCCGTTTCCACCAAAATAATATTGGCCGTTTCTGCCAAAAACAAAAAAGTATGATTCTCGTTTCTTAACCTAACCCACCAAAAGACGTTTCCTCCAAAAAGTTTGGAAACCAATAATATAAATTTGTATTGGTATAACGTATAACATATTTTTTTTATTTTATTTAGCAAACCAAGTGGGTAATGAGTACAGATCACATCTAATTTAATTCATTTAGTTTAATCTATTGTAACAATAAATTCAATTTCATTTAATCAATAATTTAGTAATAATATAAACAAATATCGTAATGATTAAAACAAAATATAAATGATGTTAAAAGCTATCTAAGAAGCAATAATAAAAAAAAAATGGAATGGAATTAGAAGGTACCTACACTTTTGTTAAAACGGTTTCATTTAATTATATGATATTTAAATTTTAACTAGATTAATTATAACTATTGTTAAGTGTAATAACATATTATTATTTATTACTATATCTAACGATTTATTATTATTATTAAGTTCTTGTATTAGGTATTATTTTTTTATGACCTTTTGAAATATTTAAATGTAATGAATATAATGTGGTTTTTTTAAAACTAATTTAATTGTTTTATTACAGACTTATTGGCTGTAACGAATTACATTATTACTACTGTAAGATATTACTTTAGGGCCTTTAGGTACATGGTTCCCGAACAATATTTGGCGAAAACGTCTCTTTACAAAATAGATTTTGGTGGAAACGGGAATCGTAACATTTTCGTTACGAGGGGCTATGCTGATATAAGGGAACCGGTTTTTTGACGGAAAAAGGCTACGCCCATTATAATATTATTGCTTTTTTTTCCGTGTTTCACGCGTAATAGATCGAATCGCAATCAAAAAATGGTTACTTATAAAACAGACATAAAGAGGTATGGCAACGTGTGATAATTTTTGTTCAAACATCGATAGTATAACGGTAAATCGTAACATAATATAATCGCAATAATCGATTCTAAATTCAAATAATTACTATTGTACAACTCTTATGGCTACAGTTTGAATTTCAATTACCTATTCCTATGTATCCGTCCGAAAACCTAGCTGTGCAGACGAAACGTTCTAATTATTTTTATGGTAGACACCTACCTACCAAAAAAAACATTTTCCAAGACAATAAAAAAAAAAAAACCTCATTGTAAAATCTACATAATACAAATCTTCTGTCTCGTTTTATTCGAATTTAAAATGAATGAAATACAAAATGAAACAATAATATTGATGTATAGAAGTAGGTATTGTACCAAGCTGTAATATTCTATAAAACATGTACCTACGTATATTGCCATTATATATTCACAATTTATACTGCGACCTAATCATAATGGACGTTTTCAACTTATTGTGCTTCGAAGGGAGACATAGTACTTTAACGGTAAATTACCAAACAAATATGGAAATACAAAAATTAAATTACAATAAGTCGCACATCAGTCCCTTCAATTTGTTCGGATGTTACTCATTTTGAAAAAGTCCATACAAGTCGGGAACGAACTACTTACCACAGTGCGCATCACGGTTACGTGCATGCAGAATTTTTTCGGGAGGTGATAATTATTTGAATCGATACCTATACCTTATATTATTGTTCGTTGATTAGGTATATACAAATTGTTTAAACAGTTTAAATGGGAATTTAAAAAATATCTAGAATTTTTGTTTATATACTTAATTTATTATTGGTAGGTGTATGGAAATGTTTAAATCTATTAAAGATGTTTTGTTATTGTTTAATATCGCCATTTAAATAATACCTATGGCGAATAGAACATTTGAACGTCATGGCATTTCCCGCGTTAACAGTTTCGGAAAACTCCGTACAGTGATAACAGGTAACAAGGCGTACATAAATATTTTGTTATTGAATTCATTTTGTTCCAAGCAAAACAAAAAGCCGTACGAGTTGGCGTTTTGATAAAACCCGATCATAACACCATTATGGTTATAACAATATTCTGGTAGATTTTCATTTCGTTAAGTTACAAGTATCGTATACGGATTATTTATTAAGGTAAGATATAAAATTGATTTATTTTCTTTTTGAAGTTGTGGTAATGCTTTTTCTCAAAAACGTATTATAGGCCACACAGTCGTTATGTTATTATATTACGAACGATTAATTGTAATTAAAATGCTCCGTGGTTATTGGGTACTTCGGTACAAAGAAATCGATTATAGTTTAACTATCTGTAAATCTTAATAATAATTCGCTAGTCATTATAAGTAGCACGACGATATGCCTCTCTCGTTTAGCTACTCGTCTGGCGACAATGCTAGTTTACATTAACAACCATGCACTGTCTGAGGTCGTTTGTGTTTTCGTCGCTCCCTGTGCTCCTAGTAGCCGTCTTTAATAATGTACACAGCAGCAATGTGCCACTGCTATTTACTCAACACCATCCTATGGTGTACAAATATTCACGTTCTTCCAGGTCTTCTGATTTTGCACAAGCCATGTCTGACCTAGTCGAGCAGCGCATTGACGATATCGAAAAATCTATTGGGGACTCTAGGGTCTATCGCGGTTTGGTGTTGAAAAATGGACTTACCGCCTTGTTGGTCAGCGATCCCGATACTGACAAATCGGCTGCATCTCTTTCCGTCGCAGTTGGTAAGTTTTTTATTATTAACCTACCATTATTTATTCACTAATTTTTTGAAGTACCTACCTAAATTGTATACCATTAAATTATATTTTTACTGGACCATTATAACTGTAAATCTATTATAGTAAGCATTCACACTTACTTTCTGACTTTTAGATAAGTATTCAGTTAAAATTTTAAAAAATTGCAGTAACATATTATATACTATTTTGTTTTAAAATTATTTATTGAAATAATCTTTTTCTTTTTCTTTTGTATTTTTTCCTGTGATTAGGTAGTTTAAGTGAACCAAATGATCTACCGGGTTTAGCTCATTTTTGTGAGCACATGTTGTTTTTGGGTACAAAAAAATATCCAGTAGAAAACGAATTTACACAATTTTTAACACAAAATGGTGGATCTTTTAACGCATACACTGCAAATGATCATACAAACTATTACTTTTCTACTAAAACAGAATCACTTAAATCATCATTGGACAGGTGAATATAATATATTTTTTTTTATGCTTAACATCATTTTGTTATATTATAATAAATATGTACAACGTTAAAATATCTGTTAAAGATTTGCTCAATTTTTCCTTGAACCATTATTTACAAAGAACGCAACTGAAAGAGAAATTAATTCTGTTAATTCTGAACACGAAAAAAATATTGCTGATGATTATTGGCGATTAGCACAATTAGAAAAAAATTCTGCTGATCCAAATCATCCTTTTAATCGCTTTTCAACTGGTAAGTCTTAATTAAATTATGTTAAAACCCATGATGTTTTAAAAAGATTTACTATTTAAAACGATGAGGTAGGTATTTGGTTGTATAATTTATTATTTTCATTGCTTAATTTATATAATGAATCATTGTGGACAATTTGCTATATTTTTAATTTAACCTGTACTCATGATTACAATTTAATGATAAAAAGTTCAATATGATGCAATTATATTTGTTATGTAGTACTTACTAACTATTATAATTATAGTTTATAAAAATGATAGCAATACAATTTTAAAATAATACTAATTTAATTATGACATCAATACTCAATAGCCAATGACTATTGTGTAATTATGCTGTATTACAATTTCACATGTAAACTCATAATAATTTGTGTTATCAAACATTTAAATTTTAATTCTTTTCTCAGTGTTTCAAAAATGTATCATGAACATTTGAGACATTTAAAAAATTATGTGCTTTTTATCTTTTTATATAAAGTTTAAAAGATAAAATATAAAAATATAACAATAAATCATTATTGCAAAACTAATATACTAGTACTATTACTCCTAAGCATTACAGGCCATGATAACTCTTAGCTTCCAAAACAATTCTCCACTCCTCTCAGTCTTAAGTTGAATTTTTCCAGTTTTGTATACCTATATGTTGTAGATCATTCATTACTTCGTCCATCCATCTACTTTTTGGGTGGCATTTCTTCTTCTTGTTTTATCCATTCTTGCATGCAGTATCGTTTGGTCATTCTTTGTACATGACCTAACTATCTTATTCTTCTTGTCTGAATGAATCTTACTACATTTTCTTTTTCTAAAACTTTCTCTATTTTATTGTTACTTCTTATCCTCCATCCTCCTTCTTCAAACCTACTACACAGCACCATATATTCTCCTTACCAATTTCCTTTCAAATATTTTTAATTTGTTGCTATATACATTTGATAGTGTCCAAGTTTCAGCTATACAAAATTAAAAAAAAAAAAAAAAAAAAAAAATTGTATTTTGAAAGAATACATTTTAGAAGTAAAAAGCAACTAATTTCATAAGCCATTTATTTTACATTATTCATGCAATAATTTTGGTCAAATATGAATGATATATTATTCATAGTTATTTATTTTTTCTGGAATTAGTTTAATAAATTACTTAAAAAAATTGCTCTTTTCCTAACTAATTTCTCATATTTTCTGTACAATTTTATTGATTTGTTAGTCTTGTCAAAAGCAATTGCAATTCTGGTCTGTACTCTTATTGCAATATATATAATATAATATTGCTTAATACAATTATTTTCATGTCTGTGACTACACATGATTGTATTCATATAATAGCTTTGATATATCAGACCATAGATCATATATTTGGTGGTCGAATTTTATAACTTCAGAAGACAAAAAAAAAATAATGAATAATTTACTACCAGTTTGTAAAGACTATAATAAAATATGATTAGTAATTTAAAAGATGATTTACATGATATTAAAAAGAAATTGGCAAATATCAGTGCCAATGAATGTTATAATGTATGCAAGCAACTAATGTTATGAAATTTCCTATAAATTTGACATATATGTGACTTTCATATATCCTTTTAATTTATCCTTTTTCACAAACACCGTTCATGTATATTTACGGGTTGGACAGATTTATGGATTTTTTAAATTTAATCTTTATAATAAGTTTACACTAATATTTATATCATTTTTCTCCAACACTCATTGTATTTTTATATTCTATTAGTGAATTTAAATGATTTAAAAAACTGAATTTAATGTATTTCTCTGTGTTTCATTAGGTTCAAAAGAAACATTATGGGATATTCCGAATTCGAAAAATATAAGTGTTCGTGAACAATTGTTGGAGTTCCATTCAAAATGGTATTCTGCACATTTAATGTTCTTAACTGTACTTGGAAAAGGTATATATTAAAAATTAAAAAATATTATTATTAAAAAAGTTAATACATTTTTTTAATTGAATGCATAGAGGATTTGAACACTTTGGAAGAAATGGTTGTATCTTTATTTGGCGATATTGAAAAGAAAAATGTAGATATGCCTTATTGGCCTGACCCAATATATAAAGAAGAACAGTTGGCCACTAAGACAATTGTAGTCCCAGTAAAAGATATAAGAGTATTATCTGTTAGTTTTCCTATTCCAGATCAGACCAAGTTTTTTAAGAGCCTGGTAAAAACTAATAAATTAATTTTTTTAATGCAATATGTCTTGAATTTAATAAAATATATATTTTTTAGCCTAACAAATATTTGAGTGCTTTACTTGGTCATGAAGGAAATTCAGGTATTTTAACAGTTTTAAAAAAGAGAGGGTGGTCTAGCAAACTTTCAGCTGGTAGTAAATTTGAAGCTAGGGGCATTGAGCTCTTTGACATTGATGTAGATTTGACTGAACAAGGAGTTGACCATGTTGATGACATTATTAAATTAATATTTCAAGTAATATACTAGTTATTTTAAAATATTTATTTAAAAAAAATTAACCTCTTTACTGTAGTATGTGAATATGTTAAAACGAGAAGGACCTCAAGAATGGTTCCACGATGAAAATAAAAATATTAGTGCAATGCAATTCCAATTTAAAGATAAAGGATCTCCATTAGATTATGTCTTTCGTTTGTCTTCTAATTTAATTGTGAGTAATATTTTTAAATAATTTGTTCTAAATATTTGACATAATTCAATTTTTGATTTATTATGTTTAGAACTATAGTTTAAAAGATGTTTTAACAGTAGAATATATCATAAGAGAATGGAGACCAGATTTAATAGAAAATCTTTTGTCATATTTTAAACCAGAAAATATGAGGTAACTATGAATATAAATTATGATTACTGGATTTTAAATAAATTAGTTCTAAGAATTGGATTTAAAACAATCTATTTAAAGTGTTAGATTATATTAAAACCATAAAATAATATTGTGAAAAAAAACTTTAAAATTATGTTTTGTAAGTAAATCTTGCTGGTTAAGACAAGACAATAATCTTACTCTTGTTCATATAAGTGATATAAGTAAAATTCATTACTATTTGGTGAAATTATGTTTGATGTACAATTCCTTACAAAGATATTTGCTCCAAATTTTTTTTTTATATTATTCCCCACTATCACTCATATATACTCACTACTTTTAAATAAAACAACCATATAAATAATATGATTTGCTGCACCTCATACGCCAAGAGAAAATGGAAGTAAGAGAAATGTTGGAAGACTAAGAATATTGTAGCTAAAATATCTCCGCGACAATGGCAGATGAATTATTTTGTTTGTCGTTACAAAGAAAAATAATATTCATTTGATTTCCAACATCTGAAGCAGATAAGAACTTTAAGAAGAAGAATATATAAATAATAATAAAATGCAAATTTAATTGTGTATAAAAAAGACAGACATATTTTGCACGATGGGTGGGCCACTTGAGAAGATAGGATATAGAGGAAAATTTAATGTTTTTCTGTACTCAAAGATTAATCTTTTTCAACCAAAAATGATTCTGAGTAGAGTTATACATGTTTTGAAATCTTGTAATATTTACAATTTTTGTCGAAATTTAAAAAAAAAAATGATACTACCTCTTTTTTTTGCCACTTATCCCCTTGTTAAATTTTCAAGCATTATGTTTAATCTAAAAATTTTATCCACGACTAATTATTAAATAAAAATTGTATAAAAAACTCTTAAAGTTAAAATATTTATAAATAGCTCAAAAATGGTTAAAATGTTTTGAAAATATTACCATGTAATATTTTAGGCAAACATAATTTTTTTATCCAAATGTCAAGTGTAAATTTTCCATTTTTTCCCCAGTTATTATAAAAACTACTTTATAAATCAACAATTTACCTCCCTGTATAACATAAAATTTCTTTTTAGGAAAGATTCTATATTTAATAATAGGAACAAGATTTCTGGTAGAAAAGTTGTTCACTGAAAAAAATAAATAAGTATTATTGTATATCCAATATATCCCTCGCTCTGCTCAGAATCTAAAATTTTAAAAATGTTGTAATCTACAGTTCTTATCTATTCAAAGACATTGAATTAGAAATATTCAATTTAATATTAGATTATATGCAAGATGACATGTTAGTCATCACAAATTTAAAATCACAAGTAGTTTTGTAGATTTGTCATTAAGCACTTACATACCAGTCTACATTCTGAACTTATATTTGAATTTTTAAGTGTATTGATCAGTTCATTACTTTTTATATTTAGGTTATTATAACTAAATAATGTATAAGTTATATAAAATAGTAATAAAATAATTACTGTAACTTTATTTTGAAATTTGTTATTAACATTTCAGAGTAACAATTGTTTCTAAAGTTTTTCAAAACAAAACTGATACTGTAGATAAATATTACGGAACGCCATACACTATCAGTAAAATACCAGTGGAAACATTAAATGTAATTTTTTTATAATTTCAATTTTATAATTTAATTAGCATATTTATTTATTTTTTACTTTTCTTGTATTTAGGAATGGCAAAAAGATGATTTATGTGAAGATTTTAAAATGCCATTGAAGAATGAATTCATTGCTACAGATTTTAGCTTAGTGCCAATTGATAAAAATGTAATCAAATTATTATGTGCCAAGTATATGATATATTTTGTTAATCATATTTTTACCTTTTTAGGAACCAGATCATCCACACATTATTCATGAATCATTAATTTTAAGAAGTTGGTTTAAAACGGATACAGAATTCAGATTCCCTAAAGCATTTGTTTCTGTTGACTTTTTCAGGTATATTAATATATTAAGTACCTTGACAGTAAATGCTTTAAAATTTAAACGAGTTAGTTAATTAATATGTTCAATATTTACTTTATATATTCTATAACTTATTTAAACATTTATATAACAATGAATTAACTTACTATCAAAATTAAAGGTAATACTGTGTTAATAATTTGTTATATTTATATTTATGTCAGTTTATTTTTAATATATTAATTTTTAAGTAAGATATGACCATATGAAACATAACAATTTATATATATATATATATATATATATATATTTATAATAAAAATAAAAAAAACTGGCATATAAACACAGATAACATTTTCAAACAAATTACTCTAATATTAAAACTTAAATTACAGAATTGTTTCTGTTTAGTGCATATTTGTTATCTCATATTGTATTTGTAAAATGGAAATAATATATATGGTTATCAATGTATTATATGTATATTATAAATATCTTGTTAGCCAACACTACATTAAAGAGAGAATTATGTTATTTCAATCAAATTTTACTAATACATTTTATTAAATATTTCTTATAGGCTAGGCACTTATTTTTATTTTATATTACCAACTTGTATTTTTTTTTTGTTTTTTTAGCCATACTGTAATGGCTGATCCATTCCATTGTAATATTATGAGTCTTTTTATAAGATTGTTTAATGAAAATTTTACTGAGTATACATGGGATGCTACTAGAGCTAGTTTACATTTATCCATAAAATCAAATAATTATGGGTTTAGGGTAATATATTATTGAATAAAATATAAGCAAAATAATAGTTTTATATTTAAAATCATTACTTTTTTTAGTTGCAACTAAGTGGATTTAATCACAAACTGCATATTTTGTTAAAGAAAACTATTGAAGAACTTTTAACATTCAAGATTGATCCATTACGTTTTGAAATCCTTAAAGAAGAAGTAAGTTGATATTTTCAAAATAATGTTCAAAATTTTAAATTTTAAATTAAATTAATAGAAAATCAGAGATTTGAAAAATATTGCAATGGAGCAACCCTATTTTAGTGCAGTGCGATATGATTCTATAATTTTATCAGAAGCTGCATGGACACCTGATGAATTATTAGCCACCATCAATGGTAAATAATTAAAATTATTATTTATTAGGGTTTTTCTTAATTTAAACTGTAAATTTCAGATGTTAACATTAAAAATATTGAAGAATTTATTGAACAGTTCCTATCACATATGTTTATGGAATCATTAATTTATGGTAACATAGACAAACCTGTAAGTTCATTTTATTATTTATATTTTTATTAATGAGTAATTTAATGAATTATTTTATTTTAGAAAGCAATCGAACTTACTCAAATATTGGAAAAACCATTTTTGAGCCGCAATGGTTTTCGTAAATTACTACCACGTCAAATGGTAAGGTTAAGAGAAGTACAGCTTGAAGATGGTGAGTTTAATTATTGTTATTTTTTTAGATTTAAACCTTTTTTTGGTTGCAACATCAATAGGCAATTTTTAATTAAATTAATAACATTCTAAAATGTTAACAAATTATAATCTGTACAATGAGTCTTATTACTTCCTCATTTCTCATTTGTTTAAATTGAAAACAAATTGGAACCTATTCTACAAATTCTATTATTATTTTATTTTAATTAATGTATTCAATTAAAACATATTTAACATAATATCCAATTTTCTTATCAAAAAGTAAGTTTTTAATTAATTATGCTATTTGATGTTTTTTTTTTTTTTTAACATTTTATTAGAGAATATACAATCTATACCCAAAGGCATAATAAGAATATGTGCTACATTATATTAAAAATAAACATGAATAGGGTGAGGGAAGAAACCATCCAGTGATTGCACTTCTTTTTGCTTAAATATATGTGCAACTATATATTTTTTTTAATTAAAATTAAAAATTTTTTTTGTTGATGTTAAAAATTAAATTAGTATGTTATACTATTACTTACTTGTTTTATTTATTGTATATAAGGTGAGAACACATTGTATGAAACAACTAATGATCATCATAGCAGTTCGTGTGTTAACATCCATCTACAGTGTGGTATCCAGTCGTCACTGAATAATATGATAGTTAGCCTGTTTAATGAAATTATCAAAGAATCTTGTTTTAACATATTGCGAACACAGGTATAAATAATATATTTATCTGTTTGAACTATGATTTATTTTAGATTTTTAGTGGAGCGAGTAATGTGTTGTTTTTACAGTGATATTTTATTTTTATATATATACTGTACAAAAATTATTCCAGAAATCTTGGTTGGAAATATCAAGTATGGCACTTTTTTCTGAAAGAAAATCTGACAGGTGGTATTGTAGGCAGAGTATTTTTTGATTGTCCTAGGAGTTTTTCCAATAAATGGGAAAATGGATACAAAATTAATCAAATATTATTAAAGAAAATATTTAATGTATATATAATTATTTTATCACAATATGACAAATATACTGTTAACAAAGCAACAATATCAACCGAACTTCGTTCAGAAACTTAACTCTAGTTAACTCTGAGTTCTTGAATAAACTCTGGTTTCATTAAAAATATCAGTGTTAACTCTACGCTGCCTCAGAGTCTTTAACTCAAACAATCCTAGATAAATAGGTAGGTTATTTTAACACCACTGATAATGATGCTTATCTCTTAATGATAACAAAACCGAAATCATGATTTTATGGTAATCTAAACTTTATACTCTACATTTATTACATTATCATTTAAAAATTTTGAACTAAAATTATGATAATAACCTAACTTTCCTAATGTCTATTTTTCTTTTTAATTCATTGTTCAATGATTTCCCGAATGTACCTAATACCTACCATAAATAAGTCTGTACACTAATGGACCATCTTACACAAATTAAATAATATAATTTTATAGTAATTCATACCAATTTTTAACTACCTCTTACGGTTATTTTTAATATATTTAAATATTGTTCGGTTATTTGGAGTCATTTGTAGAGTAAACTCGGTTAGACTCATAAGAGTAAACATTACTCAAGTTAACTCCTAACTACGAGTTTTCGAATAAACCCTAGATAATTTCCCCTCTACTACCTTCCCAACTTCTCACCTATAACAGTGTCTGCACCCGTCCTCCATTATCCTGGGACAGTTTTTTAGTTGATTCATTTGTATTTTAGGAACAACTTGGATACATAGTATTTAGTTCATCAAGCAGAATTCGTGGGGTATTGAGTATGCGTATTATTGTACAATCTGACCGTACTCCGATGTATGTTGATTCAAGAATAGAGAGTTACATAGATACTATTCAGGTTTGTTTCTTTTATTAGACTACTTTGGTTAAAATTGTAAAATTATATATTAATATATATATTATTGTAAAATTGATTTTGAATATTTTTGGCTGTATAGGAATTATTAGAAAATATGTCTGATGAAGAATTTGAGAAATATAAAGATGCTTTAACAGTTAAATTGTTAGAGAAGCCAAAGGGCTTGATGAAACAAGCAGCTGTTTATCTGTTAGAAATTGATACACAAGACTATAATTTTAATCGGGCACAAATTGAAGCAGAAGCATTGAAGTCAATTGTTAAGAGTGATATTGTTCAATTTTATGCAGTAAGTTATTTGTAATTTTATTATTATTTTTATAAAATTATATTATTGTAAAATTAATTTGTTATTTGTATAGGAACAAATCAGTCGGTCTAGTCCCAAAAGACAAAAGCTGGCTGTACATGTAAAATCTACACTTAAAAATACAAATGATGATAATACACTTGCAAACAACAATGTATGAATTAATTATAATTTGTTTGGAGTGTAATATACTAATGTTATTTTTCTAATTTTAGAGCACAATAATAGCGGACATAACAGATTTTAAGAAGAAACATCGTCTATATGCATTGCCAAGCCCATTTATACCTGTGGGAATTTCTTCTACAAAATCCAAATTATAAATTTTATTTATATTAACTTTTGTTTTTCAAAAAGTGTATATTTGTATTCATTAAAATAAGAATTACTCGAATCAAAATACAATTTAATAGTTTTTCTCGTTAAATATATCACTAAAATAACAATGATTTTAAACTAAGTTTTAACTTTTGATAATTACAAATGATTAATCCTTAATCCTTAATCTTAATTGTTCTACACCTGAGATTTACTAATCGAATACTTAAAGGACAGTCTAAGGAAAAGAGTTACTTTTTTAATGATAAACTATAGTATTTTATCATAAACTAACAAATTGTAGTGTAGTGGATTTTAGGAGATTTTAGACTCTTGGCCTATTTTTTTTACATAACCTATATATATATACAAATAATTATTATTAGAGATAAGATGTTGATGACTTGCATTTTGTCCCTTGATCCTATAAAATGGTAATTATATACATATTATGGGAAATGTACCAATAAATGTAAACATAAGATATATGATAAAATACATTTTTTAAGAGTACCAAATTTTTAGTTCATCAAACAATTAGCCCTCTTAGATTCCGAACATAGCGATGGAGCTAAATGTTTTACAATGTTATTTTTTTTTTTTTAAGCTCAAATTGTCTAGATGGTACTAAGTAATTTTTTGATATTCGACACCATTTTTTAAATAAAAGTGGGAAAAAACTAAGAAAACGTATAATTTCACAATTTCATTATTTTATAAAAACACGGTTGACGTTTTTTGCCAGAAAAAATGATTTAATGAAAAAATCACGAAAATCATGAAAAAAAGATACCCTTTTTGTTATCTTTTTGATTTACTTTCTTATGGTATCACTACCAAAACTTTTAAAGAATTTTGATTTTTGGAAGTTTTTTTTGCTGTAATTCGGTTCTAAATACACGTAGAGACTTGAAACTTGGTAATATTTTTATTGGATTTACCTAGACGTGGTAAAATTTCTAAAATCATCGGATGACTTTATTTTTATTTTTTAACAAGCGTTTTGAAATCAAATTTAAACGAAAATCGTAAAAAAAAAAATTATGACACTTCAAATTTTGTATTACCGAACTGCGTTTGGAATCATCTTTCGTCAAGCAATGGTTTAGCGTTGCCTACAAATATAAAATTAAATAACCTTGTGTAACCTATTTCCCTAACTTCTCACCTACAACATTGGTCCCTCCCATCCTCAGTTTCAACTTTTTTTTTTCCTATAATTTGGTTAAAAGGAATTGTAGAAACCAAAAATTGTCATAGAATATTAATAATAACTAATTTTCTATATGTGGTTAATTTTTCAAAACATTCTAGCAATTTTTTTCGTTATTTTTAGGGATTTATTATTTTCATCACAAGTTGAATGATTGTAAAAAAAAAGGCGTACTAGGGATGGGAGCGGATGAGAGCCCTTAAGCTTTCAAAAAAGTTGCTATACATAAAAATCAGATCAAGTTTACTATGAAAAAAACGTGTACACAGACTAGAAGAAAAAAAAATAAATATCTTAGTAAAATCAATAGCTCCCTCGCTCCTTTTAAAATTTGAAAATAGGTCTAGCGTAGTCATTTTAGATTCAGTGTGTAGCGAAGAATGTATTTATTGGTTTTATAAAGATTTTTATTTATTTTTTTTTCATACTGTGTATATAAATTCTACCAGAAATCTTGCTCCTAAGTATCAAGTATAGCAACTTTCAAAAAAAGAAATTTTCCTAGTATGGTACTTTTAGGGAGGTAAATTTTTAATTTTCCCAGTTTTTCCAATAAATGGGAAAAACATGGTGAAAACCGGAAAATAGATACAATATTAAACAAATATTATTAAAGAAAATATATAATATATATGTAATTATTTTACCATAATGTAACATCTGTAGAACACGCTGTACTTAGTAGTAAAAAAAAAATTTAGTTCAACATAGCATTTTTATATTTTTTTATAAAATAAAATAAATATATTATATAATTCACTTGGTTATTTTTTCTCTCCAACTTATAAACTATACAAATTTCAGATCAAAATAAACAATATAAAGATAACTAAAATATTAAGTTGTATAAAACATAAAATCAATACAAATATACTGTCATCGAGTACACTTTTAGTTTTAAATAAAATTTACAAAATAGATAGGAGTAATATTTGTAAACATTGTATATCTATTTCTTTTATATTATGACAATATATGATTTTTTCTTTTTTTATAAACAAGTAATATTCTAAAAATCTAAATATGAACAAAAATTGTATATTTTTATTTTTATAAAACAAACACATAGGAATATTTATTATAAATTTTAGTTTTTATATTATTAATTTTATTCTAACAACAAGAATTTGTGCATTTATAATTATACTAATAGTTTTTTCTGTAATGTGTTTTTATAAATATTCTTCAATATTAGGAATTAGTATTTGAGCTTTTTTCACCATGTATATAGTCGTATCTATTTAAAAGGTCTTCTTCATCTTCATCTTCATCATCATCATCTTCGTCTTCATCATCATCCAAATAACGTTCAGTTCTACTTGATTTTCTAGGAGGAGACCTGAATTCAATAAATTAAAATTTACTTTTTTTAAAAATTATATTGTATTTTTAAAACCAAAATGATTTGCCTTAAATTATCTTCAGATGAACTAGTTGATTCTGGAGTATTACGACCACTTGGTGTTGGACTTGAAGGAGGAGAAAATGCTTGTAACAGTTTACCTTTACTGTCATTCCAAAAATGTGACTAGAAAATTAAATATTTGCATACATTTTTTATACTAATTCAGGTAAGGTTGATAAACTCACAATAGGTCCATCTCGACCAAATAACAACAAGAATGAAACAATAAAGTCTCTCGATTTTTCTTCCCACCGTTGCAACATGTCTACTTTTTTTTCTCCAATAGTACCCATTACCCGCTTGCTGCGGTCTTTAAGTTCTTCCATTTTGTTTTGTAGTTTTAATTTTTTTTCCTAAAAATAAGTATGAACTATTATTTATTATCTGTGGTTAATTAATATTAATATATACTTGTATAACCTTTAAATATGATACATTTAAATCTTTTGCACTGTATCCACGTTGAAGATTTCGTCTAACATACATATCATAGTCACGTACAATTCGTGAAATAACATCCGATGTTGACACACCCTCAGTCCGTTGGGTGCCTACAAACATACCTTTTTCTTTTAGCTCTCTATAAATATCTTCACCAGCTTCATTAATGTAAGGAATATCATCATGAGCAACAAAATCAATCTATACAGAATTTAAAATTCACAACTTTAATTAAAAAGAAAACAGTTAACTTTAATTACTTTATTTTCTATTAAAAATTGATCATTAATTTCCCATGGTGCATTTCTCAGAACTTCATCTACATATCGGCAATGTCTCACAGCTTCATACCTTTCTTCATCTGTCATTACAGTCTTACCTTTAAGCGCGTGTGTAATACTGTCACTGCATACTATAATATATGCGCAATAAATAAATAATAATATTAAAATGGAAAATATTGGGTAAAATGTGAAATTTTAATTGAATCGGATATCAACAAACCTCCAACAATCAAATAAACATTTTGGAATACAGTTTTTGCTTGCATTAATTGTCTAGCGTGACCTTGATGGAACATATCATAAACACCATCTGCGTATACTCTGATTCTCCGAGGAGCTGCAAATAACAACAAGCGTGTTCTAAAATAAAAATTAAATTTCAGCTATAAATTAAAATAGTTATTTTAATAAATATAATTTAAATTTGGTATTGATTTAAATGGTAAGTATGAAAGTATGAAAATGCATCATAATTGCTAGGTATTATAAATTATAATTACTTTGAATTTAATGATACGTATTTGACTTATGTTAAATAATCACAATAACTAGAATATTTGGCCTGTGGCCATATAGTATTGAAATAACAGCCTTCAAAAATATGAGACGGTTGTGTTCAGAAAGAAAAATTATTTTGAAATAAATAAATAAATATGAATAGTAAAGTATTTGTAATCATATTTTTTTATTTTAACATATTTCTTTCATAACATTTCTTATACAATATAAAACCAATAGACTTAGAAAGAAAAAAAAATATCATCATGACACAAAGACTGTTAAGCAGGTAAAATGTAAATGTAAACCAAATAATTTAAAAATTAATGTTTAGGCTTTTATAGATCTTTAAGTTTATAAACAATTTTTAAATAAATATATGAAATATCAAGTAGTAGTAAAAAAACTAACATAATTTCTACTATTAATAATATAATTTATACCTAAGTTAGAATTAGCCATTTCCATAGTAATTTTTGTACTATAATCACACGCATTCCGTTCATCAACTGCATCTTTTTCCGTGCTATATGGTGCTGGTTTGAAAATTGACTAAAATCAAAATATTATATTATTATATTACTATGTTCTTAATAATTGAAATTATAATTCATCAGAACACTGCTTCAGGCATGAGCCCTATGGCCCTGATTTTAAAAAAACTGTATATATATAAATAATTCAGATTTTTTTTTTTTTTAAATATAATATTAAATTTAATATATGAAATATATTAAATGGATCCATATTGTATACATACAGGTGCAATATTTATTAACTTGGTATGTTCAAATTTTGTTAATGAGTTTCTATTGCTCAATTGCATCTCCACTTCTGTCGTATTATTAGATACGTCTCTTGTTCTCTTTTTGGACATGACTGTGAATTTAACTATAATATAAAATACAATGATAATAAATAATTAGATCAGAACACATTGCACTAACGTACCTACCTACTTGATATACATTTTTTTATTTTGTTACAGTTTCATTTATTTATAATTCATTTATATCATTTTATTTTATCATTTAAATATATTTTTAACCAATTATTTTAACTAATAAAATATTTAAATAGAGAATAAGGACAGACTGATAGCTAACACAAATTTGGATTCTTAAAAAAAAAAAAACCTACATTTTTAGTAGCTATTCAATTCTTAAATAGAAAAATTAAATAAATTTTAAGTAAATTAGTTCTAAAATTAGTAGTCATTATATCCATATATGTTAAAAAGCCATAAGTAGCTAGAGATAATTTTTGAGGAAACATGTTTTAAAATTTTGCATTTATGAAGGCAGTATAGTTATCCATTTTGTTTCAATATAAACTAATATTTGAGAAAGTGCCTATTTTAAATAAAACTATTTAAGTTACAATTTATGTGTACGTATTCAAATATTTCTGTCATGTAACTATGCAATATTCTTTGAAAAAAAGGGACCTATTTAAATTTGATTAAATATTAAATTAGGTACCATGATTTTAGTTAACAATTATGTACAATCAAATTTTTATTTCAAAAAACATTGGGTATTTAATTTAGTTTTAGTTTTATAATATCTGCCTAGTAACCTAAAAATGCATTTACAAATAATTTAATAATACAAAATTGAAAAACATAATTTTAAATATCTAGGTATTCAGTTTTACATGGAGGATAGATGTCTAGAAAACTAAACTAATATAATTAATTTAACTTTTATTCAATTTGCAATACCTACCTAATATATTTTAAAACACAACAAATCATGTGGATTTATTTGAATTGGAACAGTAAAAAATGTATAAGTGCATTAATAGCAATTCAGATAGCAATAATTAAACAAAAATCAGAATATTATAATTTTTTAAGAAATTAATATAAATAATAATGTATTAGTGCAATAGATAAATATATTATTTGATTTTGTTTTATAGTATGATATAAAACATTTATTATAAGATATAATAAATGTAGGAATCAAACAATAGTAGAATACTTTCTACATACTTATTTGTAAGTAGACATTAAGTTTAGCTCAAAAAAATATAGACACTCATTTTAAAATTACTATACTATTCGACATTAACCAATAACTGGTTACTTTATTGATATTTTACGACAGGTAACATTTTTTTAAATAATTTTTTTTTTTTTTTAATAAAACGGCAGAATACCCAAACTAATTAATTAATTACTTACAAAACGTGTGAAATACTATACTTGCTGAATAACAAAATATATTTCAATTAAATAGTATTTGACATTGTCCGCTTTGAGATTTACGATCAGGAAACACTAACAATGACAAACAGTAAAACTGATGACAATCAACTACCGTTGGAGACGGTGGAGAGGAACCTAATCGTTCAATTTAGTAATTTTAGTAAATAAAATTGCGCAAATAATAATTTTCGAAATGGGTTGTGCCATTATCTCCGGACACGAAATTTATTGTTATCACTTATCAGCCGACCCCGCATGTTTGTCGACGTCATGGACTAGTCACGCCACAGAACAACTACGACTACTGCTACAATCGGAGAGTTACACCAGTTTTCAGAAAAATGATAAGGGGCCAGTCACAACTCACAATATATTTTCGACGTATACAAATAAAAATTTGTTGATGTTTTAATTACATACTTTATCAGTAAACCACTTATCTAACAACCCAATTAAACTACCAACTTGGGCCTGTTTCACTCGGATCACTTTATGTGTTGCCACAGTAAAGACACAGTGGCATTACTGATAAAATACATTATTATTAATTAAAGCTTTCACATGTTGTGTCGCTACGAAATTGGGGTGCCACAGACGCGTTTGTGTGGTCGGCCTTTTCTAGAAATCGCGTCACAGTTAGTGATACATTTGAACAAGCATTTATTTCATACGGACCATGCCACCAGCGACCACGAGTCTCTAGAATCCCTCTGAAAGTTCGTGAAATAGAATATTCTGAAAAAAATGGAGTTAGAAGCCCCATTTAATACAGAAATTAAATTATTAAATAGCGATTCTGGAAAAAGTTTTAATTAAGATAAATATTTTCTAGTGGTTTTTTTATGGCGTGATAAAATTCTGCACCCCTATTTCGGACATACCTTAAGGGCACGGTGCCCCGGCTTAAATACGCCACTGTAAGAACTTAATAATAATAATAATATAATACATAATATACTAGAAAATAAATTTTATGACTACCAAGTGGCTATCGTGTGAAACTATACGATTTACGCGGCGACACGTAGAGTGATGCGTGTGAAATGGGGCTTACCGTAGGTGTTCTGTGGTGTTACCGCTGGCAGGTTCCCTTAATCGGATATCTTTGCTAAAGAATACGTATGACGTTTACGCAAGAAGGGAGCACGTAAAAAACCGAAAATAAATCAGCCAAAACGTATTTAAGCAGAAAAATATTTTAGCCGATAGTATTTCATCCGGTAATATTGCAGCCTACCGTTATGAAGTGATAAAGGCAGATCATGTCATAGAGTACTAGTATAATAGTTAATGAGTATACTATACTCTCGTATATAGAGTTACTTTAGGGATCATATATTAGTATATAGTATAATAGTATATTATGATTATGATTTAAGGGTCAGATTTTCCAAAAAACGATAAGCAACGCGTGATAGAAAAATAAATTTAAAAAAAAGAAATTTGGTACATACCAATTATTTTAAAAATTTAAAATGAAAAACATTGCCATTAGTTTCTAATCTTTATTGCAAATTGCTGTTAAACTTTTATTGAAAGATTAGAGATGTTAAATTTTATAATTTCTACACTACAGTCAACAAATTCATTTATGAGAATTGAATTGGATAATTTGGTTGCAACTTACAATGTCTTATGCAGTTATGTCTATTTCAATTTTCGAATAACGAGTTAGACGTGATACACGTGATTTACTAAGTATACTTAACTGGAATGCACTTCATTTTATATTCTGAATAACACATGTGATTTATTGGTTTTACAAAGATAGAAAATATTCAGAACATTGTCGTATAATTATTTTTTATTTGTTTAAAATTGTCTCGGAATTATAACTCAAAATTAGCACGTTCTTTGAAATTTTTCAATTTTTGTTCAAATATCGACGTTCAAACTTTAAAATTTTCTCATTCAACCTTTTCTAATTAAAAAAACTAAGACAAGAAATTTCCAAGTTGATAATCGGACAGAATTTCGGACGTTTCGGTTGAAATACGTTCGGTTATTTAATTTTCGGATAAAATACGGGTCGGCTGTTTTATAACCCTCCCCCCACGTAAAAACTGTAGTCTTTAAGATTATTTTACCTGCATCAACAATGAACAAAAATAATAGTATTATCAGGAGAACGATTAAAGGTAAACACAGACTTTAATCGTAATTAAGTATAATTAAGAGTATTTGTAGATTACACAGGCAAATAGGTACTAACATTGCACTGGTGCATCAATATTTAATTTGCTTGATTTCGATTATATATTATAATATACAATGTCATGTTATTTTGTAACATAATGTTATACTAGACTCAGAATGCGGTTAACAAAAACATAATTGCGAAGAGAAAAACTTTATGTTCTCATTTTCTCCGCTAGGTACTCCGCAGAGTATAAGTAGGTGTAAATGTTTAATTATGTTGTTATTGTTGCTACGGAAACTAGCGTCACATCATTTTCATTAAAGTAAAAATGTCAAACTTTTGACTGATATATACCTCCAGTCCACAAACATCCATGTTAAAACATTTTAAAATAAAATTGTATTTTGCTAAAGAATAGTGAATTGGTATTAAATAATCCTAAGTACTTGATAATAGATCTTTCATGTGCCCCCATACACAGTTTCCGAAACGCCGAATTGAATAATATGTGGTTCGGGCCTCGAGCGTGCTTAAAAATATCACATTATATTTTATACACATAATAAATTAAATATTATTTGTAATATACAATCCACAGGTTATTACTCGGCAGTGCGAAAAAATAATCCCGGAAATTCAGTCCCCGAAAAAAAAATCACTTATGAGTTTTTGCATAGGGTAATGGGCACTATTGCAATAGGTAAAAACTAAAATTAATCTAAATTATGCCATTGCGTGTAATGAAATTTCCCACAAACGGTACATTTTGGATTCTGCGATTATTATTGACATTTAATTATAATATGGGGTTTTTTCTCTGAGACTAAATTTCCGGGGTTATTTCATTAGGCAAATCGTATTATTCTACGATACAATCTGTGGTGCCACGTGGCGCGTATTGCCCATTATCATCTTTTTTTTATATTTATATTATCACTTTAATAAATTCTGTGGTTTTATCATAATATTATTAAGTATCCGGTGCATGGCAGATTTTCAGTTTATTTATCGGTATTCGTTCTGATGAAAAAATGATAAATCGGTGTAGAATAGTTTAGATTTTGCAATATAGATTTTTTGTGGTGCTGACCACTTAATTATTGTATTTATCCGTTACCTAATGTAACCTAATGATTAGCATTCTTTTTATTTTTAATTGGACAGTGTCATAGTAAAAATAATTACCTATAATTGTATTTTTTTTATTTTAATTTTGATAAACGTTATTTTTAAACAAAAACTGTTGTAATGACTTTCCAAAAATGTACTTTCATATTCCTGGCGTTATTATGGCCTTGTCTTGCTACTATCGACACTTCACAACTGAGATGTGAGGTTTGCTGTCGATTAGTAGAAGAAGTCCAACGCAATGTTAGTTCTGTGGATCCATTGCGTGTTGTAAAAGTGACAAATTTCCGATTGGACGGCAATGGTGATCAATCTAAAAGTAATGTACCATTGGCCCGGTCACAAATGTATTTAACGGAGGTAATGGATTCTGTGTGTGAAAAGATGAGTGACTATGTCCGTGCTACATACAAAACGAACGGTTCATTGACAGTTATGCCATTGTTATTGAACGGCCAAATGAACCCCTTGATGAGTGAGGTGGATATTGTTCAAGATTCGGATTTAAACAAAAGCTTGCAATATTATTGTGAGGATATTGTCAGTGATATTGAAGATGATCTCACAAGTTTGATAAAATCAGAAGATGACAACAATGCTGTTTATTCCATTTGTACAAAAACTGCACAATTGTGTCAGAACAAAAATAAGAACACAGAATTGTAATTATCGAACAAATTTTATTTTATAATTGTATTATCTAAAATGTATTATTGACTATTGTTATTTGCTAATAAAATAATGTTGGTTTTCTCTTTTCGACATTATTATGCATTTTAAATTTTTGTTAAAAGAATATATTTTTTTTTTTCAAATGCTATAACAAAATACATCCATTTTATTTTCTTATTTTTAAATTAGGTAAGTACATTCATTGATTATCAACTGTATTAGATAGTAGGTACCTTCCTGTATAGGTACCAATTATTAATAGATAGATACTTTGATTTTACATTGAAATAGTTACCTAGTTAATTAAAAATTTAAGATTATGATGTTTAAAGAAAGTTCAAAAAGTAATTATCTCACTTCACCCATTTTATAGCTTTATAAACTGTAATCACTGTCTGTTACCGACTTGAAATTTAAGGTACCCTCTGGAATTCATAAAAAGAAAGATATATTCCATTAATCTTTAGTCTTTCATGATTATATTACATATCTTAAAATAAAAATGATATTTTTATTTTTTTTATTAATAAGTAATGATTTATAAATGAATAATTTTAATTCTATACTATTATAGAAACCTACGTGCTAATTCTTTATTCTATGGTTAGCATTATATGATTTATGTATAAAAATAATAAATGCTAGTTGGAATTAATAATTATTCAAAGAAAACTCAGACATATAGGTACCTACATATTTTATACAGGTGTATTTGCTAGTAACATAGCATTGTTGAATTATAATTCAAATAGTACCTGCATTTTAAGTTTGGCTGTAAGTTATAATAATAATATAGTTGACAAATTGCCATGGTTATAATCAGCTATAGAAATGAATTGGGCCTTATAGTACTATAATACAAATATAGAATTTAGTTTTATATTTATTTATTTATTTATATGACAATAAAAGTATTTATAGTACCTACTTTTCTTTAAAAATATAAGTACTTATTGGCTACATACATCACTAGTATAACTAGAAAGAGATAATTTTAAAATTAGGAAACCGTAATTAAATAGAGAAATTAGGTTAGTACAGGTAGGCACCTACTTGGTAATTATTGTACTGTAGTAGGTACTTTATAACAAATCAATAAACAGATTAAAATAGATTGCATCAATAATGTATAAGTATCTACTGTGTTTTCATACACTTCCAATAAATTTGAAAAAGAATTGTTTAAAATAGAAAATATTAAAAATCAGTATAGATATTATTAGGAATTTTTTGCCATAATATAATATCTACATAAAAGTATATCAAAAATTACCTACCTTCCTAATATTACTCAAAAATACATCTTATAATATATATTATTCAGTAGAAATGTATTTTTATTAATAACTGGAACAGTACAATCTCTCAAGTCTTAAGTAACCTAAAATATAACTTTCATTGGTGCTAATGGGAAAATAGGAAGTACCTGTGTAGATTATAGCAGTGGAAATATTAATTAAGTAGGTCATTTATTATTATTTGTCTATGCAAAATACTTTTTTTTTAAGCTCCCATTTTTTCTTTAAAACGTTTTTTTTAAAGAAGCATAGTATTGTATTATTTTAGATTTTGAGCAAAGTGTGAAATGTATTGGTTTTAAAATGATGTTTATTTATTTTTTTGATACTGTAGGTATAAAAAATTTCTACCAGAAATTTTAATCCGATTTTCAAGTGTAGCACTGATTTGGTTTTCTAAGCAATTTTCATAATAATTGGGATACAGCAAGAAAATTAACGAAAGTAATGCTTTTGTTATTTTCAACTTTGTTTTTTTGTTGTAATTCAGTTTTTGGTTAGCATTAATTTGTCTTTTGTCAAAAACTCTTTTATGTGTCATAATTAGCTATAATAGTATCTGCATATTTAGTTCACTCCCGTTAACAGTAATCTAACATTAACCCTGTTCTTTTTATAGTATCTGCTAACAAGTTTTTACCAAAAAACATTGACTCAATCAAAAAACTGAAAAAAGCGCTCTTTTGTCATTAATTTTGTCTAGTAAATGCATTGAGACAAATTTTTTTTTTATCTTTTCCTTGTAGTTTTCTTATAATTAGCGGTAAAACGAGAACATGTATGTTATTTTAAAATTGGTTTTTTTGTTGTAATTCAGTTAAAAATAATCTTAGAGACTTGACATTTGTATCGAATATTTATTAGGCTATAATATTTCCAGAAGTGGTAAAATTTTTAAATTAATCTGGTGATTATTTAACTGTTTATAGTTAGTTATTTTTAATCTCCTTGTTTTTTTTTTTTTTAAATACCTATTTATTTCTATTTGAATGTACATAAAATTTGTTTGTCTTCTCAAAAATGATCGAAAATTTATCACAATATGCAAAAATTATAATAAAAAAGACGGACGTACTTCGCGCGTTGGTGCAGCCACTGTTGTAGTTGTGAATTAGGAAAGATAGAATACAAAAAGGAATTTAATGTATATTTGTAAGCAACGATAAACATTTGCTTACGAAAAAACCATTCTGAGCGAAGTTCAGCTGATAGTGATGCTCTGTCAACAATATATGTGTCATATTATAGTAAAATAATTAAATAGACATTACATATTTTCTTGAATAATATTTGTTTAATATTGTACTGATTTTCCCTTGACTTTTCCCGGTTTTTCACATTTACTGGGAAGACTCTTAGGAAAATCGAAAAATTATCTCCTTAAAGTACCTTCCCAGTCAGATTTTCATTCAGAAAAGTGCTATCATTGTTAATCGGAGCTGAATTGCTGGTAGAAGAATTGTTCATAGGAAAAAAAATCGTAAAATTGTATTAATACATTTTGTACATTTTCCCGTTTTTTTTTCGGTTTTTCACATTTGATGAGAATGCTTTTGAGAAAATCTAAAAATGATCTCCATATAAAGTACCATCCAAAGAAAATTTCCTTTCAGAAAATATTCTACATCGAATACATTGGACTCATCGGAGTAAGCTTTCTGGTAGAAAAAGTGTTCATATAAAAAAAAATTAAAAAATAAACCAATACATTCTTCGCTGCACTCAGAATCTAAAAGTTGAGTGTAATACAATAGTTTTTTTATATGCACTAGAAATTTTAATTTTTATGAAAATTCCAGGATTTCAAAAAATATTTAACCAAATTTCGCTCAAAATCGTTTATTCGTTTCTCGTTAGCAATGATTTATCTTTGCGTACAGATGATATACATTTGATAATTTTATATTTTTACATGTGTTCGAAAATAAAGATACTCAAATTTAAAACAGTCTTATAAATTTTATTAATGAGTACCTACTCAACCAAAAATTTAAAATTAAGACACCTTTCTTATAATACAATTTTTGGTAAATTAAAATTTTGTTTGAAAACGAGGACTGGAAGTGTAATGTGGCAGATTCCTCAATTTTATTTCGAAATGTCGACTAGTGAAAATGTCTTGAAATATTCTCTGAATTAGAAGAAATGTAAGTACTTACTCTATTGACATTAAATACCCCTTCGGTTATTTTGACATACCACTGATCGATTAGAATGTAGAAGAAAATATAGGTAATATTATTGTTGGTATGTAGGTAGACGGTACTTATACTCATACATGAATAAGTATACTATAATACCTATAGTGCTTATTAGATACCTCATATAGCTCATAAGAATCTCCTAAGCTATAAATGTAAGATAAGAACAAATAGGTGCCAAAACAAATATAGGTCATAGGCATACAAGGTTATTTTTATGAATGAAATATGAATAAGTAGGTAGGTACCTATTTAATTGGTTTAATGTTTTGTTTTTTATTATTATTTTAAAGTGTGTATTTTGTGATGAATCGATGTGAATATACTTGTATTTATATAGGTACATATTACTTATTATAACATATCGCACGATAATGGCGTTGATGCAAAAGAAAGAATTTTAGTTTTTGGTACAGATAGTGAATTAGAATTGTTATCACTAGTAAATGCCGATACTTAAAATTTCTTATATCTAAGGTAAGTACCTTACTTAGATTGAAATTTTAATACGTTCTGAAACCATTTCTACAGCTTTACATCATACGAATATGAATACCTACCTGATATATTATTACCTATGTTTTATCTTTATACTGGACGATTCACCTCATTTTTTTGATTAAATTTTGCGTTTATTCAAATTCTGATTTTTGGGAATTTTTAAGTATAGGTACTAGGTAGTTAAAACCGATATTTTCTAGTACTTAGATTTTTAATAACATTTAAGAAGTATTCTATGGTGATACTAACCTTGGTTTTTCAAATAAGAATCTATATTAAAAATTCCATAAATAGACGAAGTATTAGAGTACTTTAAATACATTTTGGTGTAGGGTGAGCTCGTTTAGTGAATCACTATGTATTTGTATTTTAATGCCGAATAAAACAAAATCGTTTTACTAGTGTACGTTTTCTATCATACTTAAAATTTGTAAACATCGAGATATAAGTATATGCCGACCCATAACGTTTTTAAATATTGAGTTTGAAATGGCTGTTAATATGTGATTAAAACGACAAAATCTATTTAGATGAATATCTAAATATCCGTTTTTTTTTTTTTTTTTTTACCTTACCCAAAGCACTCGACACAAATTCACAGCATTTCTAGCAGTACAATTTGTTGAAGATTATACGAAATAATTAAAAAAACATTATGCCCGTTAGAACTGAAGATTTAATTTTATATTTTGATCTACATACGTTAAACGTAAATTCCGCACAGATAGACCATGTTCATCAAATAAAAGGTATATCACTTCAATATTGTTGCATCCCTCCATTATTTCCTCCTACAACCTGAAATGATAACATAGCAACTTGTCTAACAGTCATAGAACAAATAATTTTAGTGAAAGTTGGAATTTAAACTGTTTACATATGGTTGGATAAAATCATCCAACAATTTGGAAACTTATTACTATAATATGATAAAAAATACCTATAGACCGTACAAAATTAGCTTTAAACGAACTGGAATTGAACGCCTAATGCACTGGGTTTGGAGAAAAGAAAGTAGAAATTAAAGAATTTTGAAAAGCTATACCAAGCTAGAAATAAAAATAAAAATAAAAATTTTACTTTTTAATCCGAGCTGGTAATATTTGTTGTGTGGAAATTGTATTAAAAACTATTCTAGTTAACTTTTATATCATCTATAAAACATTTTTTTTAACAATTTTTTTTTTCTTCGAGATTTTTTCAAGATAGATACTTTCATTCCGGGACTTCTTATCCTTGATACTTTGTTCCGTTTTTAATATGACAGCAGCAACTAATTTATACACTCAGTCACTGATCTATCAATGCACAACCTAAACCGTTACATGTAAACCTACTTAATGTAATTCAAAAATCAGTCCCATCGTATCTATGCATTTGATTTGTTGAAATAATAATATGGATGTTAAAAATTAATAAATAATAAAAGACAATTTTCGCTGATTTTACATTCTAAGTGGAGCGAAGAAGCTTATATGGTTTTACTAAGATTTTTGTTTTTTTTTTATTAATTTTTTTTTTCTGTGAACAATTTTTCTATTAGAGATCTTGCTCCGATTTTCAAATGTAGCACCTTTTCTGAAAGGAAATCGGTGTGGAGAGGTACTTTAATAAAGAGGCCATTTTTCGCTTTTCTTAGGAGTTTTCTCATTAAATGTGGAAAATCGAAAAAATCTTAGGAAAAACGGGAAAATCGGTACATTAAACAAATATTATTAGAGAAAATATATAATGTAATAGTACATATATATTGTTGACAAAGCATCACTATCAACTGAAGTCTCCTCAGAATCATATCTTTGTTAGCAATGGCCTATTGTTGCTTACAGTATACATTAAATTACCTATAACAGTGGCTGCACCCATTCCCATTATCCTATAGGCCATCTGTTTTATTCTGAGAGTAGTTAGTGGTTTTATATGTGATTTTTTTTCTCTGCCTGTGAACAATTTTTCTACGAGAAATCTTATTCCAAAAATCAACTTTAGGGGTGGTTTTATAAGTTTCTGATAGAGTCTTATCTAATTGGTACATTGAGATCATTTTGTGATTCTTCTTGTCTTATTTTAATAATTGGGAAAAAACTGATACTATTCTTTCAATCTTTCGTAATAATAATATTATGCCATTATTAAATTATGTGTTACTATCCGCCTATGGTAGGTACTTATATAATTATATTATCTGGTACCTACTAATTCTATGATATTTATAAAAAATATTTTGAAACCACCTATCATCAGATTTTTTTATAAATGTTTATTATTTCAATTTATAATTTTTAATGAGTAAGTATTTTATATAATTTTTTTATATATAACTATAAATTATGATTTATGACTAAAAACTATAATATAAGGTTTTTCAAATCAATATTATTTTTATTACAATTATTATAATATGCGTGTTAAATTAAGAATGATAACTATGTTGTTTATTCTATGGACATTAAATATAAAAATAGCAATGCTTTTTAATGATTATTTAATAATACATTTTTTAACAAAATGTAGTAAGCCACTTACTGTGTAAGCGCACATTATAGGTAAATACCTACCTAGGTAAGTATATTTATGTCAATTAGTACATCTATTTATTCAATTAAAATTGCAATTATAGTTTTGAATATCTATTTAAGGTTATTATAATATAAGTTTATTGGTGTTAATAGTATTATGGGTAGGTATTAAATTTCACAATTTATAACTATATTAACATTTGATATTCTCAATTATAGGTTCAGAATTCATTTCGTAACCTAATTAAGATGACTAATACATTTGGTAGGTAAATCTATAATAAATGAGTTCAAAGTACAAAAAATAAATAGTAGACAAAATATTTTTGTTTATAAATAGGTAAATAATGCGATTTAAATAGTTTTAAAATATTGATATTTAAGTTTTTAAATTTTCAATAGTTTTTATACACAATACAAAATTTTTCATTATGTTAAGGACATCATAAATTTTAATTAATCCCACATATATTAATATGTCCTGTGTAGTAAACGCCTATATTATAATGCAATCAAACTTAAAATTGTAAAAAAAAAAAAAAAATAGGTGAGTTCTTAACCTATTGTGTTTTTATTTATACAATTGTTTATGTAATATTGTAGTAGGTACTTATTCAAATCACAAGTAAACGTTTGCAACTTAATACTACATAAGTATCTAGATATTTAATATAATACCTTATATAATTATTTTTGTATAAGTAGGTAACTAACAATCTCAACTTCTATTTCCGCTCTATTATTATGACTCTTGGAAGTCCTTAAAGTTGTCAAGTGAATCCTTATAAAATCGATAAATTGTATGTTAACATTAAGTTATATAAAATAAATTATTTCGTGTGCCTAAGTAGTTACCTATAATACAGTTGTGTATAGTTGAATTGTTGATGTTCATCGTTCAATTATTAATATATAATTTAAAAAAAATGTTTATGACAAATATAGTTGGAGTAGTTTAGTAAGTTTTAATAACGGAAAGTATTTCTTTGGAATTTATAAATTAGAAATCGTATTTCTTTGAACTAAAAATATATAATTATATATTTTATCTGGACAAAATCTTGGAATGTATTTGGCCAGAAATCAAAAATTATTCTTCTCTACGATGATAATGTGATATACAGACAATAATACGGTTTTTAGTTTTTAGATTCCGGGATTAATATGGTCTAGGCAGTGGTGTACTTTTAACTATTTTCTGGGGGAGGGTGGTACAAATTTTTTAAATTCCAACATTATATTTTATTTTGTTGACAAGGGCACCCGTAGAAATATAATAAACTAATTCATATTTAGTATTAACTAAAATAGCGGGGGGCCTTTGCCCCTACCGGCATCCCCTGCGGGCGTCCTTGTTAATTGAGTAATCAATCGAGATAAGCCCTTTACAGAAAATGATAATGACAAGGAAAACAACAACCTAGATACATAGTATAACGTATAAGAATATTAATAATGTAAAATTACAACAATTTTAACAAACTAAATGTAAGACTAAAAATTAAGTCAAGTAACAATTAAACTAAATAAGATTTCCTTAGATACAATAAAGTATTAAGTATTTTTAAAATATCACGTGTACAATTAAAAAAATCAAAATGGTAAGAGATTTTATTGGCTAATCGAAGAGCTCTGGAAAAAAGGAATTATAGCTCTACTATTTGTCTTATAAGGACAAATGTGGATTTTTGTTGACAATAATTGTTTTTATTTTAGTTTTTTTTAAGATATTTAGTTAGTTTAAGGAATTGATAATATAACTATAAGTGATATACTTAATGAATGATCATGACGATTTATAGAATAATTTAATACCTAATAATATATTTATCAAAACTTTAATATGTAGGTAAGTGTTATTTGTTTTTAAAAAATAAACTCCTTGGGAATATATTTCTCATATTCATATACAGAGTAATTCATTAAGCGTGCTCACCTCATATTTTTGGTAAAATTTCGCATAAATTCAAATTCTCATGAATTTTTAAGCGCATAGTTAGTCAATATTTTCGAATATTTAGATTTTACATTACATTTAAGGAGTATCCTGTGGCTATACCAACTTAGTTTTTCAAATAAGAATCTATATTAAAAATTCCATAAATAGCCAGAGTATTACTTTAAATAAATGTTGATGTTAAAATTTTTGATTTCCGTCAATCCGTTGACAAAATATTTCACTTTTAGGTTTAGGTAGGGGGAGAGTATTGTGTAACTGTGTAAGTATGTAAGTAATATATGCAAAATTCAACTAAAAAAGTGGGGTGAGCACGCTTAGTGAATCATCCTGTATATCGTCTCAACCGAAAAGCGTTACTTACTCGGTTTTGCAGATGACTAGGATATTCTAGAAACTAGGTGAATCCTTAAAGAAGGTAGCGAACGCAACCAAAATCTTGACCAATGAGGCGAAGAAAATAGGATTAGATATTAGCGATGATAAAACCAAAATAATGGAACTGCTCGAAAGTAATGAAGATCCCAGAGATACGAAAGAGTTAATATACGAAAAAGTCAAGGACTTTAAATGGGTACCTATAGGTGCAACTTTAAGTACAAAAAATGACCGGACCAAGGAAATAGGTATTCGCATTAGAAATGACAGAAAAAACATTTTTTACGTTGACAAATTTGTTTAAATTCAAATACCTCAATATTTAAAAATTATTAAAAATTACGAATTTAATGAAAATATTGATAAATCAAAGTTTTCAGAAAAATATACTCTATAAAATGGTTATCTTCAATTTTTTTAAAACAATGAAATAAAGTTATTATTTTTATTTTTACCAACACAAAAAATTAATTGAAATATAAATATTTGTAGTTCTTATCCCTGAGTCATATATATATTAAAAAAAAAAAAAAAACAGAAAATTTGGTTATCTAAGGAAGATATTACAATGGGTATATCTTCGTGGGACACCTGTATTGAGAAATAATTTTGGAGAATTTATTCTATATCAAGTATTAATAAAAAAAATAAAATATATGCATAGAAAAATTAATAATTTATTTCTTTTAACATTCGTAATTCACATTTATGAAAAATAAAATATTATCAAGAAAAAACTTATTTTTTTTGTCTATTTATTGACATTTTATAAAATGCATTTAAAATAATGTAAACAAGTAAATAAAAAAATAATAATTTTAGTTAAATCGACAGAGTTCCTTTTTTTTCTTTTTGTTCGCCTAACTTAATATTCAATTATTAGGATCTTGAAATTCTGTTTTGATATTTTGTGTAGAAATATAAATAGCTTTATTTGATGGATTATTCTAAAAAAAAAACTTGTTTATAATTCTTATTAAATTTTAAAATTAACTTGTAAAGTTTACTTGTGTGGTGACAGGTCGTTGAGACATTAGAACATATTTTTGGGCAGTTCCTGTGTTAGTTGTCGCTGTGGCAATTGGTCTGCCAATAGCTGTTCTAGATTGTGTAACTAAATAATATAAATTAAAAACAAAATTATAAAAATAAAAAGTATATTTTATTAATACAAAGGTTTACTTGTTTGAGTTACAGGTTGAATGCTTGAACTCTGCGTGGTAATTGTGGCACGAGCTTTGCACAAAGCAGCATGCAATTGTATACCAACAGACCCAAATTCCTTTTTGAATTCTTCTAAATTATCTGGAGGTTGATGTGTTGTTTTTAATACAGGAGTCAATACTTTCTAAAGCAGTACATAAATAAATGTTTAAACATTTATCAATATACATCATATAAAATTAATTTAAAAGTGTTACACAAAGTAGATGTTTAATTTGGTTTCCAGATATTCTATCAACATTGTTTTGTGTTATTTCTGGTGAATCAAGCCTATCAGATATCATGCGTACTCTAGGAATGACAAACACTTTTATTGTTTCAGTTCCTAACTCAGCCAATCCTGAAACATAGTTAAATAAATGTTTTAAATTATAAACAGTAGTATTATTTTTTAGTAGTTACCTTCAAGTGCTCCATACACTGACGGAAGTGCAGTTTTATCTGAATTAGTAGCATTTGTAAATACTCTAGTAATACGAGTTTGTACGTTATTTGTTGGTGTATTGAACATTTTACAAATTTGTGCCATCAAACGAGAGGCAAAATCACGTAAAGCCCAATGGTTATCAATTTCTGGTCTCATACATAATTGTTTACTTACAACACATGTTACCACAGAAGGGATGATTTCATGTAACTAAATTTTACATCAATATTTATATTAATACTTGTTAATGTATTTAAATCAATTTAGCATTTATTTGAAGTACATTTTGTGCAATATGCATTATAAAATATACATGTTAATATAAATTAATTCTATGAAGACTAAAATTTTTAGATTTACAGACTTTTTTTGTAAGCCTACACTTGTTTCTTGGGCAATTGAATTTGAACTACCCTTGAATATTGATAAATACTGAACTGTCTTTTTACCTAACTAAATCTACAATTAATTTTGGCTTTATCTACAACTTCAATTTATCTCTAAAGGTTGCATATAAATTCAATCTTTAATAAAACTCTCAAAATACTTAGATTCCTCAAAAGAATTACTACTTAATGCCATTTTATTTTTCCTTTGTTAAGCCACTCTATTGTGCATTAGTAAACTCTATTTTAGAATAAGAATCAATAATATAGGACCCCACATTACTGATGATAATGGTCAATTGGAAAGAGTACAGAGCAAATTTTTAAAATGTATTAATTTATTTTGAATGTTGAATGCTTGGATTCTGACTGTACTCCTATTTCTAATTTTAGATTTTGAGTGGAGTAAGAAATGTATTGGTTTTACAATGTGTTTTTTTTTTAGAACAACTTTTTCAGCAATTATTCTTCGATTTTCAATGATAGCACTTTTTCTGAAAGGAAATCAAACTGGGGAAGTACTTTAAGGAGGTCATTTTTTGATTTTTCCAATAAATTGGAAAATCAGGAAAAAAGATACAATATTAAACAAATATTATTAAAGCAAATATATAATGCCTATTATGTAATTATTTTATCATAATATGACATATTATACATTGTTAACAAAGCAACACTATCAATCGAACTCTGCTTAGAATCGTATTTTCGTTACAAATAGTTAATCGTTGCTTACAGATATACATTAAATTGTATATAATATTGGATGCGCCCATCCTCATTATCCTTGGACAGCTTTTTAAAATCTAAGTTTCCACTCTGATCATAGGGTCCAGATTAATTTGCGCTTTCTGCAGAACCGAAATATCAGTAAAATTGATTCCCCTCAATTATTCTCAACGATTAATTTTCATGTTCCATCATGTACAACACAAAGTACTGCTATTTTTTATATCTCATTTACAGTACCAACTATGTGAAGTTTAATCCACTTATCAGACTAATGAGTTTTTGTAAAAAGGGCCCTTCCACATTTTAGTTGTTGTAATGCTATATTGTACTTGTGTTATTTTTCTGTGTAGTTAATTATTATTTTATATTGTATCATTTAATATTTATTCTTATATTTGTCAAACTATGTACACCAGGCTCTTATCCCATTATATATAAATAAATAAAAACACTCAGATAACATTCAACATAGCTGAACCCAAGACTCAGTCAACCTCACTGTAAGCATATTTGTACTTATATTATGAAGTACAATATTATTAAATGTTAAAGAGTTATTGCAATTTTATTACTATTTAATTTATAGAACATTTAAATCTATGTTTTAAACAATTTAAATATTATATCATAAGAACAGGAAACTTACATATTTTTCCAAATAAAGTGCTGGATTGTCCAATAGTGCTTTGACCATCCTCATTAAATAAATAAGTAAAGCTAAATTATTTTGAACTACATTTACTTTTACTCCTTCTGCGATAAACGTACACATTCGAGGTAGCATTTCATGAAGGCCAGGATCAGATGCTAAACTCTGTAGAGCTTCCTAAAACAAATTAAATAATAGTATTTATTTGTTATCATCTATAATTTTCGTTCCTATTAGAATTATTGTCAAGCTCAAAGTTTAAAAATTATAATATATACAATGTTATACATTCAAATTCATATTACAATGAAATGAAATTTTGTAAATAAGTGTTAATTCATGTTGAACAATAATAAATAATACGTGTATGTGAGGCATCCAGTAAATAAATATGACTATTATAATACATACAGCCCTTCGTGCTTCATCTGATCCAACACAAGCTTCTGTAATTTCCTTGTAATAAAGTTGTTGTTCAACTGATAACTCATGTGTTGCTAATTGTTTTACATGAACAGTTTCAACATTACGTAACTTTTGAGCTTTTCTAATAATAAAAAAAACAAATATATTTAAAACTAATTTTTTAAATATTTATTGATAACTTTATTTCACCCAGTAGATGGTCGTCCAGAAACTTCTTTGTCAATGGGCTTTTTTAATTTGTTTAAAGGATCCACACATTCAAGTTTTTGAATATCTTTAGATACAGATGGAGGATTTTCTGGTACAGTCGGCTGAACTCCATCAATGGCAAGCCAATGGCCTATAAATGAAACAGGTACAAATTAACTAGTATTATGGAACCCATGTAATAAGATTTCAACCCACATCGAATACTGATTTCTAAAGGCAACTTAGCCAAAGGAGCATTTACAAATTCAATTAGATCAATATCTTTGTCATCAATGAAATGTAATTCTCGTCCACCACCAGATGCGTATCTAAATGGTACATGGTCTTTAGAGTGAAATCCATATATAGGCTAAAAAATAAAAATCATTTCATTTTATTCAGAAGGAATTATGCTATCTTTAATCATCAATTTTTATTAACAAAATAGTTTTGAAAATATATATTTATAAATGATAAAAATGATTATTGTAGAATAGACTTAAGAGAGTCATATACCATTGCTAATGTTTCAGTAACCTTTAAAAATATAAAATTTCGTAGTACATTATTTAGATGCATATCATAAAGTTTTGGCAGCTTTAACAATATAAGTGTCTGAAAATAATTTATTTATGACTTGATTACAAAACATCAAGTTTTCTCTACTTTCTGTAAATATAATATGAATATATTATATTTATATAAACCTTCCAAAACATTCTCTAAATGATAGTGAAAACTGTCTCAAAATCTATTGCATAGTTTAAAAAACTAAGAATACAGACAGACCCAGAATGGGACTTTGTTTTATACTATTAAGAGATTAAATTACTCCTAATATTACATTATTAATTTATAATATATAGAATGTAAATAAATAAAAATAATAAAACAATATTGCTTACTTCTATACCAAATACTTTTAAAGCATTGTCAATATCTGAAGGTAGTAATTTGCATCTATTGGAATGCATCATAAATTTTTTGCTTTCCTAAAAAAAATAGGGTATTTATTAACTATATTCATTATAAAATAATAGCAACAAATGATAATTTTACATTATAAAACTATGCTATTTAAAAGAATTTACACTTACTAGATCAACTTTTAATACATAAAACATCTATCTAATGAGGCTGAGATAATGTTCCATAAAATAGTTGGTAATTTTTAAGATTTATTAATTTAACTATACTATCTACTTAACCATGTTGGGGTTAATATATTTTACCAACCCTCACAAAATGTTTGAATTTTTTATTTTTAAATGTGTAGTTTTTAATTTTGAGAACAATGGTGCAAAAATGAATATGCAGAAATGATTAGTTTAAAATTAATGATATTTAGAAATGTATGTATTTGTAGAGTTTCTTTAAATGATCAGTTTAACATTAAAATTGTAACTTTTCATTATGATCTAATGGAATAATCTATTTACCATAAAACACATAGATTAAAAATAGAGTTTTCTAATTAGTCTTTAACATAATAATTGTTTACATAGTTAATAAAGCTTATTGTTTACTATCCAAATGTACTTCATAATCAGGGCTCGTGACTTATAGCTCTTAACAAAGTTGCTATAAGCTCAATGATATTCTCTTAAAAACATTCATATAAGCGCTTGTATACACACTACAAATGTTAAAATATGCAAAAAAATAAGCCTGATGTCACATCAGAGACTGGTAATGACTGTTTATTATAATATACTGTTTTAAGCAAAATAAAAATAATGTCATAGTACTCGTTCAACAATATTATTAATAGAGGTCTCTTTATTAACAGAATTGCCGAGTAATGACAATGATCACATAATTTGTTAATCTCATTTTATTTTATGACAATTACCGAAATATAAATTGATAAATTCAAATATAATATTAACTTGTAGAAAATTTTCATTTTTTTACTTTGAAATAACGATAATAGTGTCAAATATCGCTAAAAACTTCAAAATACCGTTAAAAATTCAAAATATACAACAAAAAATTTTGTATTTGACTTCCTGGTTATCTGAAACAAATTAGTAACTTACAAAGGTGTTACTAGGACTTCTTAAAACAAATATGCAAATGCTACAAGTCACTTTCATAATCAAATTTATTACTAGTGATTTTTTTAATGGGCATAATACCTTTACAAAACTTATTTTTGATTACAATAGTCCAAGTTAGTAACACCATTAGGCTCTAAATCCACCAAAAACGCATTTGTTTTTTCTTTGTTACCTACCAAACCAATTTTTTTTGTAATAAAAATACATTTTTAATTAAAAAGGTTTAAACTCAGTATTTGCGGCATAAGTATTTCAACTATAACTGCAACGAACTTGGAAATGAAACACTGTACAAAACAAACTATATAAATAGTCGAGTGGATCCTTTCAAAAACACATATTTAAAAATTTCATAGCTAAAAAATTAATGATTTTCACAAATTTTTTCATCATTGTTTTTAAAATGCTATAAAATCCATTAGATTTGAAAAAATAAAGTTGACAAGTTATGAGACTTGGTAAACCCAACATGTTCTATACATTTTAGTAAGGAAATTCTTAAATACAATTTGAATAATTGCATTCTGGGACTTTACATTCCGAATTACTGCCTATTGGATTTTGGATTCTAACAATCAAGATTATTGCGTTCCAGAATCCATACTTTGGTTGGAGTCTGACTCATACAAAATATTATAGCCCACCATATATTTATTAATAAAATTTAATTTTTGTACTAACTTGTAATACTAATTTTAAACGGTAAGTGGCGGAATCAGATATTTCTTTAGCTGCTTCATCAGATAGATTGCCAATACCCACACTTTCCGCAATTACCTTCAATGATTCAGTAGGTAGCGTAGAACCATAGTTTACTACAACTTCACCCATTCTAAATATAATTATTTAAAATCACAAAAAAAAAAAATAACATTTAATAATTAAGTTTTGTCAGAACAATTTTTTTTTAAGTAGTCTCGAGCGAACAATTTAATCAATTTTACTGTGTAAATAAAAAGTTATCATTGTGGTATCATACTATCATAATATTTTTGTTTTGATGTTTTTATTAAGAAAATATTTCTTATTTTAATCCATTGAGTAATTTATCATTAAATGATAACTATATATGATTTAACACTGTACACTTAACTTGTCAACATTAATTTTATAACATTTTTCGATAGTTAATTTTTTTATATCATTATTAGGTTTAATTGTGCTGTGCAGCTAAACTGAACAATAAAATAATGCAATATTATATTATAGTTAGTATTTATTATTTTGTCCGATTTTCTATAAATACTAATTGGTCACACTGTGTTGTGGTTTATTCTACGGTCCATGCAAGTCGCAGACACCTGACATACTCATAAATGAACTGCCCAGTCTAATGTCTTCACCTGCTGTCTTTAATGTTCGTGAACAATACTCTGTGAGAACTGAGAAGGATAGCTATTTTTAAGGCATGCACCCATGAATTAAGATCTACCCATCTGGGTTAAGATATGTATCTTATCAGTGGCCGAAAATAATACAACCAAACGTAGTTCAGCCGAATCACCTGAAACTTGCAGTTTAACAGTTAAGCTCCAAGCGATTTTTTGGAATTTTTTTTTCTAAAATGAGTGTTTTTACATGCTTAATTTTATAATACTTTCAAAAAAGTCGCTCTGACTTCATTTGGAAGTTATTTGATCAAATACCTTCAAAATGCTCGATTTTTATGATAATCGTGTTTTTGAGTTTAAATTACAAAAAATTTTTATTTTTTTTATATATGGTAGTAATTATCTATATATTTAACATTTTGGTGAAATCCGAACTAACCACTATTTTTTGGTTTGGAAGAAATAATAGAAGATGTATCTTTTCTTATGGATAAATAAATATGATATTTTACCTTTGGAAAAATATAGTTTATTTAATACTATTTTATTTTTTTTACTTACTCAGGCCAAAATCATAAAAAAAAAACCCAATTGGGGAGAGCTGATTCCTGTAATATTTTCGCATAAAATATTCAAATATTTTCCTACTTTTACGGTTTGGCCGAAATATTTTTCGGTTGAAATACTGTTCGGTTGATTTATTTTCGGTTTTTTTACGCACTTTCAATAATATTATGATTAGTTTCACCTAACATTCCCCGCGAAATTTTAAATTAAAATGTGCTGCCAACTTAATTCGGCTAAAACGTGAGATATCGAGTGTTGCATATCAAAAAACGGTATAGAATATAAATGAAATTGACATGATAAACTGATAAATAATAATAATTTCATGGTGTAAATTAAAATATTAAATCATTTTTTCCATGACTACTTCTAACTAGCACTATCTCTCACTATCTCACTCAATATCCGTTCGTCATTTCCTTCTTTAAGCGCAGTCTATTTATTTATTAATATATCTATGGGTTCACGGTCTCAATTCTATTCGCCGACACTAACCTAACCATAGATTTTTACATGTATGAGTCTATGAACCTAACCTATGTACACAAATTATATACAATAATATTTATGTATGTGTGGTACATTGTACATATTATTACATTATGTAATTTGGATTATTGATTATGTATCGAAATCGATCTATATCCTGTGATTGCACCGGTTTTAAATAATTCTTATTTGTTTTTGTTTTGTTAATTAATTTAACTTACAATCGAATGTATTCAATCATGTTTATTTAACGAATTTTCCTTTGTCATTTTATACCAAAATCAAATTTCAAGAAAAACGAAAGGAACAGTAAGTTAACAGATTATAATTTTATATCATATCCCTACCACCACTTTCCGCCTGACGATTAATATAGGTATCTATATTATTATTGCCGTTAGGTTTTTTATATTTGGTTAGGTATATTAGTTTATCCGGGAAACGAGACCATAGATTAATGTTGAGTTAACATGATCTTTCTAACCGGGTTTAAATATTTCCTTGTTGGTTTTAGACGTTTTAATTCGTTTTATTTAAAATAACCGATTTTAGGAATTTTTTTATTGGAAACTTAATGATACATTTTTCAAAATAGCAAAATTTTGTGGCATAATTTTCGTTATTAATTATCTTAACCACCAATAGACACACTCCACGTAAAAGTAGGTACTTATATAAATATACTTATTGGATACAATTTTTATGTTTATATAATTCTAATTTACCATACTTGTGATATTTTTTTTTTTTTTTTTAAATGTTCGTTTTCGCGTATACATTAGTGTTTAATAAAAAGGCTTGAAGAATTTCGTTTAGAAGGAAACTTTGGGGAAAACTTTAAAAAGTCTAAGTTTTTTGTCACACATATTTTTTAGTGAGATTGATATTTTCAAAACGTGTTTTTTATTTCTTAATTTATTGATATAGTCAAAATTTACCTACCGCATTTACTTTGAGAGTTTTTTTTACAGAAACCTCAAAGTTTGCATTTTTAACGTTGTTTTACATAACAAATTGAAGGATATCTATTTTTTTTTAAAAATTGTAACTATAAAATGCACATAATTAATGATAAATCTCACTTTTTGAAGTTCCTCATAACTTCCAAATGAAGTTTGTCCAGTACATTTTTTCCTTTCTTAATGTATACATGAAAACACACATTTTGAAAGAAAAAAATAATTTTAAAAATTCTTTACTATGCTAAATTAAAATTTTTACATTATATTTGTTATGCAAATAAGTATAGATACTAACAGCAGGTAATTTAATTATTCTACCATTGTGTGAGAAGGAAAGTTAAGACTGCAAAGATTTCTGGATTTGGGATTTAATACACTTCATTTTTAAAATTTTAATTGTTTTTAATAATTTATGAGTTAATTTTAAATAAATTAATATTTTTGTTCTCATTTTCTGTCATTAATTATTAATATCTTATATAACCAAACAAACTAAACATATTTGTTAAAACATGACATTATGTTACAACTTTTTCAAGTGTCCCATATACCTAGGCTCATTTTATAATTGATAATTGTGCCTCAGATTTTTTTTGCAATTATTATGAACTATGTATTAGCATTATAATTATGTTATAAATGTTCAGTATGTGAACTACTGTATGAATTGTTGTGTAGTTAGTGATTTGAAATATGTAATAGAGGAATACCAATCTGGCATAGATACTTGTGGTAACTGATTGACTCTGGTCTAATCTAGTTTGATATGTTAGACCGACCAAGGTTTGATGAAATGTCTCATTGAAATAATTCAAACATTTATTGAATTTATTTTGTCTTTAAATATTATTTGTATACAATTAAATTACATTATAAACTATAAGATAGAAAAGTATACAAAGAGAAAACATTATTCATCTATATTTTTAATTTATAGTGGAACGTGATCCCAATAAAAGAAGAGTCAAACCTCCTGCTAACCCAGAATTGGTAAATTTAGATGATATTGATGGTGAAAGTTCATCAGACAGTGATTTTCGTATTGAAGATCATTATGTGAATAGTGAATCAGATTCTGATGGTGCTTCATATTTTACTTATACTGATGGTTTGTTTATTAAAGTTTGAAATACCTACCTATTTTTGAAATATAATTATTTTATACCTTTAAGATTTTTGAATGCATTAAAAAATTTAAAAATAATATATTATTATTATTATTATATATTTGAATTTTATTTATATACTTAATAGATGAGGATAATGAAGCAGTAGCTGACAAAGATGATGATGAAAATGAAAGTAATGATAATTTGACTGCAGATGGTACAAATGTGACAACTATTGATGAATATTCTAAACAAGTATATTTCTTAACCAATTGTTTTGTAATTTATTTTAATCAATTTACACAATTCTAGGTGAATTTAAAAGAAATTGTGGATAAAATCCATATCTGTAGTATTTGTTTAGGAGATACTAGTGATGATGTAAACGAGTTAATTGATTGTGATGAATGTGGTATTTCAGTTCACGAAGGTAAATATTTTATATTCAATGTTAGTACTGTTCCAAATTTAATTTGAATTTTAGGCTGTTATGGCGTGCATGATTCTGGGAGTGTAAGTTCATCAGTTTCATCATGTTCAATGGAACCATGGTTTTGTGAAGCTTGTAAAGCAGGCATAGAAAATCCTACTTGTGAATTATGTCCTAATTTTGGTTTGTATTATGGTTTGTGATATTCAAAATTATTCAAGTTTTTATCCAAAACATTTTATTTTAGGTGGTATATTTAAAGAGACGGATTGTGGTAAATGGGTGCATTTAGTATGTGCATTATATGTGCCTGGTATAACATTCGGTGAAGTTACTAGTCTCAGTAAAGTTATGTTGTTTGCAAATACTACACCACGATGGGGAAGTAAAAGTTGTACGTTGTGTAAAGATATGAGATACATGTGTACTGGAGTGACAATCGCATGTGATGCTGGAATGTGTAGATCAAATTTTCATGTTACTTGGTGAATATAATGAATTTATAATTATTAAATTAAAGGATTTATTTAATGTTAAAATGTAATTTGGGAAAGTCTATAAATATTTTTAATTAGAAAAGGTATGCTAAAATATATTTATTATTACTAAATTTAATTTTAAGTATTTGATGAACTGAGTTCCACTCAGAATTGTTTTTATTGTTGCTTGCACTGCTAACAGTAATTCGTCTTAATTCTATGCCTATCTACCCTACTTTACCACCCAAAACAGCGATCCACTCATGGTACGAAGTTTATTTCTTTTAAATTTGAATTGCTGCATGTATTATAGAATTGGTACTATCAATAATTACCATTTATCGTTATAACTAGTTAACTGTAAATACAAATACCGGCATTGAGAATTTAAAATACTGCCAGCCCTAAACAAAGGTTATTTGTTTTGAATCTTCATTTTAGTTTTGTCATACAATTGACATTAAATATGGTTTGTATATTTTTATACATTTAATTATAATTTAAATTTAAACATATTAAAAACCTTTGAAAAGGTTCAACATATTCTGTTTACACTTATTGATTGCCTGAAATTGTATTTTTTAATAATCATTAGTGCTCAACGAGAAGGCAGTTTATCAGAAGCAACTAGTCCAGAAACTGATCAAACAGATCCATTTTATGCACATTGCAAATTACATGTTGATAAACTTGTTGCAAAGTTAGTATTATTTTAAACTGTAGAATTTAATAAAATTGATAACTAGAATTAAAAATAATATTCCTTATGATAAATTATTTTTACAAAAAATCATTTGAAGATAACACATTTGGTAATAATGTATACATTATTTCTGATACTAATTATTGACTAACTTGTTTTAATTGGTATTTTTGTATGTAAGCTTTATTTTAATTTGAAAATTAGGAAAAGAAAAAGAAATTGGGATATACTTCAGAAAAGAACAAAACAAATGAAATTATTGCGTGAGCAACAATCATCTGAAAAATCAGCTACATGGCTTCGTAATCAACGAAGACTTGAAAAATTACGATCCAAGTATTATGAAATGAAAAAAATTACTAAACCAGAGTCAAGTAAGCAACTGAAGTTGTCTATTTTGTATCAAGTTATATAAATTTATTTTATTTATAGGTTTTAAGTCAAAAGTTCCACGTCCTATTACAACTTCAGCATCAGCATGCCGAGGTCTTTGGTTAAAAGCCAGCTTAATGGGTGTAAATATGGAATCATCAGAAGCCATTGAAGGACATATAAAGGCACTGCGTGATGTACCAAAAAGATGGCATGTGCCTTCTTCATTCAGGTACAATTATTTGATTTAATTATTTAAATAACTCCCTATTTTATTTGAAATTTATATGTCTGAATTACTCTTTAGTTTGGAATTTGTAAGTTATTTCTTGGATAGAGATTTAAGATTGGCGGATATGAAACGTCAGCTTAAACATTTTACTGAACAAAACAACAAGCTGCACAATGACCACATAATTATTCAAGAAAAATATAATGAAGTATTATCATTTATTAATCATTTTAAGATTTAAAAATTATGTTTAAATTCAATTTATTTTATTGTAGGCAGCTAAAAACAATGAAGTTCAAAAACAAAAACATTTAAAACTTAAAAATATTTTAACAGCTTACTATGATGTTATACAATTTGTGAATCCTAACATTAAAATGCCAGATATTGATACACTTTCCAGAAAAGGCCAAGAAAATCATCACCAGTATAGTTAGTGTTTATTTTAATATTAATATTTATCCTATTTTGAAAACTTATGGTCATAAGTTGCAATTATAATAAATGTGTATTTATTAAATATAATTGTTTCAACTAAACTATGTTTTTACAATGGTTTTAATAATCATTCTGAGCTAAAAAATAAAATGTATACAATATGATGAGTGAGTAGGTTAGTAGTGGAGTTCATCATATTCAGATGATTATCTTGATAATGATTGTGGAGGTAAAAGGTCATCTTGTGGAAGGCGCGATTTGAGTCTATAGTTTTTTGTTTTTTTCCTGATTTCATATTTTAGGGCACCTTTAGTTGTGTAGTTGTGAGTGGAATTTTTAAATTTGTCATGCATCCATATATTCAGATATGGTATTTCGGTATCATTATGGAACTATTAGTTGTGTATGAACCAGGGTGCTTTAAGAACTATTTGAATTTATTTTGAATTGTTTGAATCTTTAATTTTTGTTAGAAATATGGCAGCACATACCGGGTATGTCTATGTTATAGTGATCTAATTATTGATACATATGTATATCAATAGTGAGCATTTGATTTGCACTGTAGAGCTATAGTTCATTTTGGCAATATAAAATTTTAGTTCGTGTATAAACTTGATTTAGTTTAAAAAGACGCTATATTTGTATGTACTGTCTCAGTTCAACTAATGGGTGATTTAGCAAAATCTACTTTATGTAGTTTGCATAGAATTCGTTTAATTTTTGTTTTAGTGTTAAAACACTTATAGTAAAGAGGACAATATTTCACTGAGCAAGACTATGTTTTTATTTTTATTCTGATTATAATATTTAATACATCATTTAAGAATATAACCTAATTCATCATTTTTGAATGACTACCATATTAAAAAATTAATTTAAGAAAAAGAACTCAGCAATTTGCCCTCTGAAATATTGTCCTCTTTCATTGATTTTATAATAGGAGTTTTTACTCTAAAACCATAATTAAGCAAGTTCTACAGTTCTACGCAGACTGCGTAAGTTAGATTTTGCTATATTTGTCCGTTAGTTGGAATGAAATAGCACATGCCGGTATAGTATCCTTTTAATATTAATATGTATTTTCCAGGTGAGGTTTTTTTTAGCATTGTACTTCAAGATATTTGAGTAATTGATTTTTTTAATTCCATGTAATGGGTTGATTATTATATTTTATTTTGGTTGGATCTCTTAAGAATAAATATTTTTATTTCACTTTAATTGAATTTAATTTGATTTTCTATTTCATAAACTATTCTGAGATCTAGTCTAGTGAGTTTTGAAGACCAATAATTGAGATTTCAAGATTTATTTATTTTATGTTTAATAGCAGTGTCCTCCACATACATTGCTAATTGACATTTTTGTGGTGTTAGGATGTCGTAACAATAAATATTAAACAGTGTGGGTCCAAGAACTGAGCCTTTTGGGATTCCAGCTTTTATTGGGTGATTTGAGACATTTCAGTGCTTATTTGTACATAAATGGAAATAAAGGTTAGTGATACATGAGAATATTATATTGTAAATATAGTGAACATGTCATACATTATCAAAGGGTTGTGCAATGTCAAGGAAGGCCATGGTAGTGTATTCTTTCTTTCACATCTATTTACTATTATTTCTGTTATTCTTTGAAAATTGTGACAAATGGAGTGTTGGGGTTTGAAACCAAATTGATAGAGTAGAATAATTTTTAGGTAGGATTTCATTGTGTGAAGTATTACTAATTTTAGTATTTTGGAGTGTTGGAAGAATTAAGCTTATTGGTGAGAGTTTTTTTTAAGTTTCTTTATAGGGATGATAATTGCTTGTTTCAGGTTTTTGGAGAAATACCAATTTCTAACATTGAGTTTAGGAGGCTGGTTAAGTATGCTATAGATTTTGATATAAGATTAAGAATTTTATTAGTTATTAGTTATTATTTTATTAGTTTGGCCATCATGTCCAGGGTTTTTTTTTATCAACAAGTCTATATTTTATTTGTTGTCATAATATATTTATGTATACATATTTTTTTTATAAATTTGTAAAATTTTGTTTTTAGTACCAAGTAGTTCGACTTCAACTCCTGCTGCATTGAAATCAAGCATTGGATCTTCAATGATATATCACGATAATTCAGGTAAATAATAATTTTATTGAAATTGTATTTTATAATATAATTAAACTTTGATTTATTTATTTTTCAGATAATGTAGCATCATTAGGTTTAAATAACAAATGTGGAATCTGTGGCCGTACAGTTGATCAACATTTACTTGCAAAATGTGATACATGTTATTTATACTATCATTTAGGTTGTTTAAATCCTCCATTAACCAGAATGCCTAAAAAGACAAAATTATTTGGATGGTAATCAACATTTATATAATATATATGTTACTGTGAATGTCCACCCACAGTTGGAGAATGCCTACAATCACCGGTTAATGTCGACATACACCTCTTAAATTGGTGAATATTGACATTCACATCAGGATTTTGGTTAATGTTGACATACGTATTTGCATATAAAGTATACACTATAGACTATAATACAATAATCTATTATTAAACAATATTATGTTTGTATTATTAATTTAAATTATGATTATTTTTACCATACAAAAATTATTATTTATTGCAACATTTCACAGTGTTATAACATTTTGTTACATAAAATTCCAAAATTTTTAAGTGGTGCAATTTGTTTTGTAATTACATTGCATATATCCTTGCTTACCAATTGAAAAATTAAATGCAGAAACTTGCTTTAAAAGGAAATTTGTTGATCCCTTAGTACATCAGTGATTGATTTTAAATTTTCTTTACATAAGTAGTAAAATTGATTTACAAGAATCATTATCTACTATATCTAATACTATGGTTAAAATATTTTGAGAATCCATTTTACTTAAATCAACTTCTGAAACTCAAATACGGATAGTTAGTTTCCCCAACTTTAGCCAGAAGAAACTTTTGTTTAAAATAAAACATTATTAAATGATTAACAAGTTGTAAATTATCTATACTATTGTATGTTTATAAGAGTACAGATTTAATCAATATGCCAACATTTGCCAATGACTTTGTTGTATGTCAACATTAATCGGTGACTGTCAACATTCACAGTAACACATATACATATATATAAATTTTAAAGTATTTTTTTTATATTTAACAAAATTAATACATATTTTGTGGTTATTAATGTTCAGGCAATGTAGTGAGTGTGATAATAGTAATTCTAACTCTGAACCAGAAACAGTGGATCCAAATGCTCCTAGGAAGTTGAGGTATGGAGGCAGAGATCAATCTTTATCGGACAGCCGTAGATCTTCATCTGTTGCGAATGATGTATGTATATGAATAACAAATAATTGGAATTTTAAATTAAAACTCAAAGTAATAAATCATATGTTAAAGTTTCAGGATTTTAATACTTTAACTGAACCAAATAAATTACATGGTGTTTCAAGTATGTAGTGTTTGCTGTTTATAATTTGTTTAATCTGTATAAATAAATATTATAGAATATTTTTCAAACTTGATGTTTTTGTTAGAAAAAAAAAAACATGAGAGACATAGAGAAAGATATTCACCAGAAATAATAACAAAACGTGTAAAGTCTCGTAAACGCAAACATAAGCATCACAGGGATAATAATACTTTGCCAACGGAACCATCTAATGATTTATTAATTAATGAGCCACCGCGGCAAGGAATTAAATTATTTGTAAGTTATTTTGACTATATTATTATGTTTTAGTTTAGTTTTCCGAATTATTTATGAGGTTCTTTGTTTAGATAAAATCTGTGCCAAGCGCAAGTGGTGTTATAACATCTTCACAATTACTAATTGCTTCACCAGTGGAAGAAACTCCTCAAAAAGTTGTCAAAATCAAACCAGAAAAGAGTGTTGAACCACTTAGAATCACCACGACACTGACAGATATTAAATTGATACCAAAGTGTAACACTTGTAAAACAACTGGAACTAACACTACTATGGTTCAGTAAGTTTTATCATTTATCTATATTAGTAAATATTTTTCTGAGATATAAATATTAAATCATTATTATTTCATTGATATTTTCAGGTGTGATGAATGCAGTAAAAATTTTCATTTTTGTTGCCTTGATCCTCCAGTGAAAAAATCTCCAAAAGTACGTGGTTATTCATGGCACTGTGCTGAATGTGATCCAACGGTACATCAATTATTACTTTAGGTCTAGAATGTATATTTTTATCATCATAGAATCTTTTAAGATTCTATCATTTGCTTATAAACAAATGGTTATCTAATTAAAATTGTGTTATCAAAAGTTTTAATTCTTGGTACAATACCTTAGTTTTTAGATTTTGAGCAGAGGAAAGAGAAGCTATTTTAGTTTACAGTAAGTTGTGTTTTTGTTTCTTGGTAATTAACTTTTTTTTCCATTTATATAGCTCCTTTTGTGTTATTATTTCTGATGACCTAAAGAAATATTAAAACTCATGCATTTTTATTTTTTAATAATTTAAAAAACATCCCATTACTGTAAACCAGCTTTCTTAATAATGCTCACAATTTAATATTTATTGAAACTTTTGAATTAACTAATTTCAAAATAATTATGTTTCGAATAATGAATATGTTATTTATAAACATATCATTATAATTATGCAAAAAGTGTAAAAACATATTTAAAAAAAAAAAAAAAAGTTTAAATGCCTTATTTCACCCTTCTAATTTCGTTTCAAAGAGTGTCCGAGTTGTATCATAAATAGTTTAGGAATAGCTGAATAAATATTTCTTGATTAAAATCAAAATTGATTACAATTTTAAAAAAAATATAAATTTTATAATTATCACTATTTGCATGACAGTGATGGTATGTACATTTTTTAATATAATACATTAACATGTAAATAAATATCTGATAAATATATTTCAGGACAGTGACTCTTCGTAAAAACATGGGAAAGTCAAATCTACCACTTGGTAAAGTTGAGTTTACCAATATTCAATTATAATTTAAAAGAGGAAGCGTATTATTATTTAGTATTAACGTTTATACTATTTATAATAGTTTACAGTTTGTATCCCTTAAAATAAGTACTATTGTAAAGTATAGTTCCATTTATATTTTTTTCTGTATACGCATAAGTTAATTTATATAATTTTGATGCTGTATGTATATGATAATTATTTTAGTACTTTTTGAAATTTTTATTTAAGTAAATTTACCCTTTCATATTTTTTAAGTTGGAAAAATTTCAATTTTTCAAATGGAATAAATTGATAAGCCAAGGTAAAAAATAATTTATGTGCTAAAATTTTGTTTTGTAGAATAATAATAATGTTAAATAGATATTTATAATTACAGTTTATTTTATTTTTTTATAATTTAGTAATAAATTGTACAACCCTTAAATAAAAATTGTTTACTATAAGCACAAGTGATATAGGTTTATATAGAATAAATTGTATTATGTTAATTTTAAATATGGGGACCTTGAGTAAAGGTTCCATTCATTGATGGGTCTTGGAGTGGTGTAGAGTAGAAAAGATTCGTTTAAGCTCCTGAGGTTAGTTACCATGAATAGTAGGAACTGACAGTTCTGAAATAGATTGTAAAGATTGGAGTTTAAATGTTAGTAGAATACTTTGGCTACGGTGTGTACTGTTAAAATAAAGAGTTGCCATTTAAGACATAGTAAGGGGTTTTAATTGGAATTTTTGTCTTTTATTAATGTTGAGTTTAACAACTCACCTTAGTTGAACACCTGAAGTCCAAATTGTTTTGAAGAGCAGTTTAATAAAGGAGTTTATTTAGTGAAATCCTGGATTACCCATTAAGTTAACGGTGTAAGTGTAGAAAAATATAGATAACAAATATTTTGAGCATATTGTATTGGTAAGTGTTTGAGATAAATATACCGGCAAACTATTTTTTGGGATATGAACTTTTATTGAATCAGTTGAAGCTTCATCGACTTTCATCCCCCCATCCTTTATATTAAGTCAATAAAAGATTTAGGTGGCTTTGGATGGGGTTTAATACTTAGAAATGGCTTGTAATCGACAAGGTGGATGAATGTTTTAAAGTGGGTTGTAGGTTGGTCTAAAGTGAATAGATTAAATAACAAAATATATGGATTTAGCTATGTAATATTTCATGTTCTTGATAGTGTTAACTGGCAAGATACACATGAAATGAAAAAAAATTTAAATTGGTAATTAACTACAAATTAGGTAGGTATTTATTAAGTCTGTCAATTTAATTGTTTTGTTTTATAGTTGTTATTTTTTACCCCAGTTACTTTTATCCAATTTAATCTTTGAAATGTGTAATAATATTAAATATTTAGTTTTATATCTAATTTAAAATGTGATTAATAATATTGTGTTAACATTTTAAAACCAATGTTATTGAATAACTTAATTTAGGTATATATTTTATTGATTAAAATAAAAAAAAGGTTCAATTATGTATCAATTTTATAACATATTTTATAGTGGCTATAACACAAATGTTAAAATAAATCTATTGATCTACGGTTTAGTGTGTTAAAATACATTGGGCTGGTGTTAACGTTTTTGTAGGGTGTCTATTATCTACAGTTATAAGAGATTTAAAATATACACCTTGTTAATATTAATTAGTTAATTAGGTATATAATATTTATAGCACAAAAGCAAATATAGTAAATTATTTATTCAAAATTTGAATATTTCATCATGTGTTGTATCTATATTCAACTTGTGAATTTTAATTTTTGCCAAACGCACAGAAGTAAATACATTTTTAAATTTGAATAGATACTTCGGTTTGTGAACATTTTGTCTGGAAAACGCCAAATGAGAATTTTTAAAATAACATAATTTACGTCTTCCGTTGCCGTGATCAAACGTAGACGGTCTATATAGGCTTACCGTCAACTTAAATAAATATAAATTTTGACATAAAATGCAAACCGTTCTTTTGCAGGTCGGGAATTTTGCGTTTGACCCGGACGTGATGGGGGGTAGTATCGTATGTATCAGGCACGGTGTCGTGTCACAGGGCTCTTGATATACATTGAGAGGAGCAGAGCGGATTGGTAAAAAAGATCATCGGTAAGGTTTGGGCGGACAGTGCGATGTGTTACATTGTCGCGCGCTAATTTACCTGTATAATTGTGTATACAATGCAGCGGCGAAAAACAACAGACAACGCACACATTTCTCGTGCGGTCTTTTTCTTATTTCGAGTGTTTTCACTGCGTTTAAACAAGATTACAACACGTCGGGCACCAACGCCTAAGTGGCCGGGGTCCTAAAAGGGCGCACTTGTAAACACGCGAATCGTTTGACCGCCGAGAGGTCGTTGTCTCAGCAAGTGTACGGACCCACCCCAACAAAAGGTGTCCTCACCGTTGGGTCGTTTGCTTGCCGAATTGGGCGGCCGAAACACGCAAGACCTCACGGATATCGGACGACCGTCAGACAGTATATATGTACTTTATATCGTGATGGAGTGAACACGAGCGAGCATTACGGAATTACCGTTTTGTGCATAGTGCATAGTTGCGATGGCGAAAACTTAGATGCCTTTGGAAGAATAAAAAAAAACGGGTTTGATTTCGCAACCGCCGCCAGACCGAGGTGTGGGAAAAGCGGTCAACTTTTATGCCGGCCAACTGTCCGCGTATTCGTCATTAAACAAATTGCGCCCACGGCGAAAGGGGTCTGCTTCCAATGTGACCAGATAACAAGGAACAAAACGATTGTTTTATTTTGTCTTTTACTAAATAACATGTACGTATTAAGGTACAAGGTATTTGTTGAATGTGAGGAAAGCGCAGTCCTGTTTATTACTATGTCTATGGTTCTTCCACACATAATACAATTCGGCATTATAATTTTAATTAATTTAATTAACAATTAATAATCACGGATGTCTCGCTAACAATATAAAGTTATTAGGCTTGTTAAGTTGATAATTTATTTATTGTTTACACTAGTTTTATCAATCAAGCGTAGGCCTGAACAATGGCATTTAGTAGAGATCAATCAATGGCGATTTTACCCATCTGATTTCCACAGACAATAAAATAATTCTTCATTATCTATGCTGATTTGACTATTAAGTTTAGGCAGGAGTAGAGTAATTGAGCACTAATAAAACGCGCCATATTTTCAATTAAATATGAACAAAGCATAAGTATACTCATAAATGAAATTATATCAACAGCAGTAGATAGTATGTTTGTGTTCACGATTTAAGATAGACTATCTTAAATCATGTTCATAATTGAAATATCGCAAAGTTATTTCAGAGACCGTCACTTCATCATTTTTTGATATACAAAAAATAAAATGGCAGCGCAATGGGCCATGCTTTTATTGGCTAATACGAGATCAGAATTAGCGGCAATATTTGTTTATTTGAACTGTTGATAATAGAATAAACTCAAATAATTTATTCAATGTCTGTATTACAAAATCATAAAACATACAAAATGTTATGATTTTCATTATTTTGTCATTTTGTTAATAATTATTATTCATAACAACCAGGTTAGGTCAGGTTCAGTCAGGGGTGGATCTAGCATTTTTTTATGATGGGTGCTAGTTCACGTATAATTCATTTATAACTAATTCGATATCTTTGTGTTTGTCTGTATGAACATTTAATAGAGCTAACCCGTTTAGCCTAGACTCAGTCATTGTTGTACACATGTAATTTTTCAATTTCCTTAAGTTAGAGAATGACCTTTCGGCAGTTGCTGTCAATACTGCGAGCGTAGCCAATAATTGTAAGAGGATTTTGATATTTGGAAAAAATTCTTCGCAATATTGGAGTGATGCAACAGCAGTATTAGGTACATTCGTTTCTATTTTACTCCATTTCGCATTCTAACGATTTTTATCTGCTTTTAATACTAATTCTGAACACATTCGTATTCATTAGTTCTAGTTTTTTTTTTTTTAATAAAATAAGATATTAGGTATACTGTTATTCGCCGGACTGGAATTTCTCTTAATATTCTTGTTCGTTTCATTCATAGTAAATTAGTGACGTTAAAATGTTCGATGTAAGAAAACGAATTGTTTGACTTTTGACAACTGATTGCCGAAAAAATGAAATTGAGAATGGTAAACAAGCCTACCCCGCCGATATGGAGCAGTAAACGTTTTTTGAATACAAGTAAACAAGGGTCTTCTCGCTGGTGATATCTGCGCCTGAATCATGCTGCCGGTAAAATCACGGGAATTCAGTGTACCTCAAAATTGCTACGCCACCGCCACGGCCCACACATTTTCAATAATAATTAATAATATGCTGAACAGTGGTTGCTTCAGCACCCCACGCAACCCTCCCTAAATCCTCTCCTGGGTTGAGTAGAATATCATGTTTTGATAGAAATAGGGTTTGCATACTTTGCACATATTAAAAAAGAGCACATTATAGTAAGAGCAATGCTCAGAATCTAACAAGTAATAGGGCACCTGTTTCTTAAAAGTAAAATGTGCACGTTTCAAATTTTGTGATTTTATCTTGAATTTATAAATTATTTATGGTATTTACATATCTGTGAGATAATATGTGTATTATCACTTAGTTATCAGCAAGCATTCGCTTCCCAGCTTATCGTTAATATTATATTTATTGTCGGCATTTAGTGTCACTATTTAGAAAATTTCGATTTTTTATTCGATTGTTCGGTTATTCATTAATTTGTGATTTTATTATATCAATTTGAGTATTGTAGTACTTGTAAATAATTGCAAAATTTTGTGCTTCAGTTTGATATTATCGATACAACTTTGTGCCCTGATTTTCCAATAAATAATATTTGTACAATAATATATTTTTTTTTTCATTATGGCCTTAAAAATTACTTCCAAAGTCAAAAAAGAAATGAAAAAACGTAAACCCAAAAAACCTGAGTAAAGAATGATTTTTATATTAATTTCAATGTGATTAGTAACTAAATTTATTTATATTTTATGCAGTAAATCATATTCAGAAAACTACGAAGAAAGTTGGTATATGCAAATTAATGAACCATTAAAAATAATTTTGTCTGCAAGGTTTTTTTCTGTATTCCTTCTTCACATTACTGATTGCGATGAAACATTCAACTACTGGGAACCGGTAAACTTTATTGAACCATCATTATAATTTTTTCTCGTTGAAGTTTTACCGATATTTAATTATTTGTTTTAGACCCATTTTTTCGTTTTTGATAGCGGTTTTCAAACATGGGAATATGCGCCTCCTTACGCTCTTAGATCATACTTATACATACTTTTTCATGCAGTGCCCATTTATATTATCAATAGTATATTCAACATAAAAAAAATCTTCTATTTTTACCTAATACGTACTGCACTTGGGTTATTGTGTGGTCTTTGTGAACTATATTTATATAAGTATGTAATTGATATAAGTTATTATTTTGTGTTGTTTATTATTAGTAATTCTTAATTTATGTTTACTTTCAGGGCTGTATCTAAAAATATATCATCTACCGTTGCATGGTATTATATATTCATAACGATTTTTAGTACTGGAATGTATATTTCGTCTACTGCATATTTACCTTCTAGTTTTTCTATGTAAGAAGGAAATTTGAATATTTAAAATATACTTATATTAAAACAAACAATTATTTTTTCGTCTCTAGGTATATGACTTGTATAATTATTGGAGCTTGGTTAAATAAAAATTTTGGATTGGCAATTTATGCAACGGCTTTATCTACTTTTTTAAGTTGGCCATTTACTTGTCTTATTGGGTATGTAATTTTTCTATTTTATTATTATTTTTTATGCTATATCAACAGAGAAATATTGAAATAATTTTCTGTTGTTACAAAAAAAAAAAATATAAAACCTTATTACATTTATTAATTAATTTAGAGTACCGCTCGCATGGGATGTTATTTTTGTGAATAAAAAATATATGTTAATTGTTAAATGGTGTCTGTTATCATTAGGGACAATTTTAGTAAGTGCATAATATCAATAATTTTGTTTAAGTTAAGCAATTTTGTATTTGCAAATCTTATTGTTTTATAGGTTAATCAAGTCGTTGTAGATTCATATATGTATGGTAAACTTGTAATAGCACCATTTAATATTGTTTTTTATAATGTATTTACAAGTCATGGCCCTAATTTATATGGTACTGAACATTGGAGTTTTTATTTATTAAATGGTTTGTTAAATTTCAATATTGTATTTATACTTTCAATGTTGACTCCTTTAATTATTTTAATGAGAAAGGTATGTAAAAAGTATGCATCATTTCATTTTTTTAATTAAATTTGCTAATTAGTTACTATTTTTTAGATTTCAACGAAAATTGGTATTAGATTTTCAAAACAAAGTAATATTAAAAATAAATCAATTTGGATGATGTATTTAACACCGTTGTATTTATGGTTTTTTGTATTTATCATACAACCACATAAAGTAAAATATTTTTTAAAATTATTAATATGAATATGTGAATTTTTGTCATTTAAATTATAAAATCATATAAATAATAAATACTGATTTTTTTTTTTTTTAGGAAGAACGATTTTTGTTTCCTATTTATCCATTAATACAATTGGCATCTTCTATATCATTAGAATATATTAGAGATATGCATTTACACTCAAGTATAATTCACAATTTTAATTTCCTAAAGCTGTACAACAAGTTTGTAGATATAGCTTACATTCCTTTTCTTTTTGTGTTTTTCTTATTGGGTGTATCTCGCAGTACTCTTTTAATTAAAGGTTAGTTTATTTTATTTATAATCATACTATAATAAAGAATAAAATTGTTAGGTTTCTATTATATTTATTTGTTTTTTTTTTTAGATTATAATCGGAGTAAGGCATTGGTTTAACAACAATTTATTTTTTTAATTTTTCCATAAGTTTCCTTTTAAATACTAATAATATAATAATTAATAAATTTATTTTTATCAAAATCTCTTGGATCATTTTTCTGTAAGCCGAGCTCCGTTTATATTTGTTTTATATTTGTTCCTATCATGTTCTTATTTTAAATATTTTCAGCATACCGTGCCCCCCTTATTGCTTACACTCAACTGAGCAGTGATCTTCTTACTCTGCCAGAAACAGATATAATAAATTTATGTGTTGGCAAAGAATGGCATAGATATCCATCATCATTTTTTTTACCAAGTGATAGGTAAATGTATAAATATGAAAATATTATATGTTTTTCAATTCCTTTGAATAATATACCATTTTATATTTATATTTATGGAATAATTAATAGTAATATTTTTTTGTAGATGGAAAATGCATTTTATAAGATCAGATTTTCGAGGACTTTTACCTGGTCGATTTAGTGAAGAGTCTTTGACTGAAGTTGTTGAAAATTTTAATGACCAGAATAAAGAAGAACTAGATAAATATGTTAGTATAATCAATTTTTTTTTAAAAAAATAAGAAATATATCTGAATTTTATAAGTAATCAAACTTTATGAAACTTTAACATTGTGTTTATCATAAATGTTAATCAAATTTGTTTAGACTATTTCAAATGTATGTTATACTTTATAATTGTATAGGTAATTAAAATATAATTAAATAATAGTTATAAATTAGATACCTAATTTTACTTACCATGTTGATTGAGGAACAGTTTTTGCAGTTCTCATTTCAGTGTGTACATAACATTTTTTTTTTTAAATTCAATTTTAGTATTAAGATCTAAGATTCCTTCAGTCCGCAGTCCGAAGCCAATGTATTAATCAAATATCTGATAATTTTAAATTAACTATAATACTTTTAAGTTAATATTTAAAATGTTATCTTACTACCCAGACAATAACTTATAAAAACAATTAATAAATTATGAAAGCAGTTTATTTAATTTTCACAATATCTTCAATATTTAAATTGTTCAACTATAATAAAAACAAAATTAATGAATTGTGTACATGTACTAGTATTTAAATTATTAAACTGGAGTTTAAAATGATTAAACATTTCTAGAAAAATTTGAAAAAAAATGTTTTTCTTACATAATCTTAAAAAGTATTGAAAAATTGTAAAATATAGAAATAATACATTTATGGCATAACCCAAAATTTTTAGAAAATTAAAAAAAGATTTGTATTTACACTTTAATTATATCAATTAATTGAATTTGAAAATAAATAATTTAGGAATAGTATTTTATAGTTTTAATAAAGTCAGTGAATCAATACTAATTACTACATAATAAGTTCTAAATATTAAAATTATAATACCTAATTAATAAATAAAGATAATAATAATTTATAATAATCTTAATTATAAAATTTGCAAGATTCATCCATTACAGACTTATTGATAGTCTATTAATGTAATAATACATTATCATTATGCATTGGATAGTTTTCACTACTTCTTCGATTATTCGGGGAAAACATTTTTTATAGTATATATGTTTATGTTTTCAGAGTGATATTCGGATATGCCATTTCCTAGTAGATTTGAATAGCAATCAAACATCAGAAATGGAACCTAACTATGTTGAAGGTGGATCACAATGGACTCTTTGGTTGTCTATACCATTTATGAATAATCAAAAGTAAGAATTTCTAACTAAATTTATTTATTTTTATTTATAACTATTATCTATAAAATAGAAAAATATTTTATACATGCGCCCAAGAATTTAGGAATTTATTTTAGATATCTTTCAGCAATGTTCTACACAATTTTCCGTAATACATATACTAATCATTATTTTTATGATATATATTTAAACTGTGATAGTAATGTAACAGTTTAAAAATATAAACAATTATTTGAAAAGGAACTTCTGGTAATTTGTTGAAGTTTTATACACAGAAATATATTGCAAATTATTATTATAGATATATTATGCATTTTGTATTATTTCATGATATTTTATTTTTTTATTTTTTACAGAACATCTCTTTTATATAGAACATTTTATATACCATATCTCTGGGAAGAAAATGTCAAGCTTTCATCATATAATCTTCTTGTGCGAAACGAATTTAACACACATAATATAATGTCATTCACGGATTCCGGTGTTCCAATACATTATCCATTTTAGTTGAATAACTTTTAATGCTATAGACATAAATTTAGATTTGATAGGATAATTTATAATTAAAAATGTATTTAATGTTTGTTTTATTAGATGTGTGAGTGAATTTTTTAAACCCTTTTAATTAATTGATTCAAATTTTTTTGTCCCAGAGACAAATTGTACAATATATTTTATACTTATTGAGCATTCTGGCTCGACATTATTCCACTTTTTTTCATTTATAGCTAAAATAGTTTTATAAAAAATACTTAATAAATTATAATAATGAAATATTAACATCAATATGAAGATCAGAGTAGGAATGCCTATGGAAGAGCAACAAGTAGAGCTGTCAAAATGACTGCGTGGAATGAAAAAGAAACAATGTATAATAATAATACTATATTTTATTATTATGTGTATAAAATTAAAGGTTGTGTTTAAGTAAGCTTGTGTGCTACTTACTTTTGACAAGTAATTTTTATTGATGAAGTGTAACTTTTTATGCTTAAAAACAGTTTAATAATTTGTAATAACATGTTTATATTGTTACATTTTAAATATTCATTAAATTAGTTTTTAATGATATTTAAATATTTTTTTTTAGGTTTTTATAAATTGCTATTATCTGAAATTTTATTGTAGAATTTAATATAATATAATATTGTCCTTTTTTGATACTTACCAAATTAATTAGTTTAATATTAATAGAATATGTAAAATTTTATCATTGAAAATTGTTTATATCGTTTTTACATTGTAATTGATTTGATTTTAAGTGACCGAGTGTGTTGTGTTTAACAGTATACCTAATATTTTAATTTATCACAATGACTTTAATTGAATCGATGATTGCAGAAATGTCACAAGTCAATTTTTTTCAAAACAGATAACTGATAAAAACTGTATACCAACCTAACATAAATAATTTTGGAAAAAAATTTAATTTTAGTATTTCGATTGTAATTTTATTGATAGAAATATGATATTATGATTAAAGCCGTTTTTTACACTCAATGCATAGAAGTACATGTCTCTGTGTGTTTTTACTAATGTCTTAATTTCATAAAATTTGTGACTATAAAAAAAAAATAGTGACGTTTTTGCAATCATCGAGTCAATTATAAAAACAAATGGAAAATTAAAGTCTAATGTCCGTGTAAGTGTTGACGCTGTTATTGTAAATAAACTTGTACATTACACGGTATATTGTAGTTGTCACCTTTGCACTTAATTCATAGTTTGATGATATTTATTTTATCTAGACTAAAGACTAGAGATGTGTTTGGGTGCTTAAGTATCCAACATCTCTTGGAAATGATGATTAATTATTCCATATACCTATATATTTGATATTTAAGGTTTTTCCATTTTCCAGATTGGTTGAACACATGATGCAGGGAATGGGAACTAATTTCGGGACTAGAAATCATATTTTACCAGCCCATTAGTTCATTGACCGATTGTTTTGGGGGGCTTACCCCGTCATAAACTTGATAACAAATTGTATACTTTGATCTATCAAAAATTAATAAAATTAGCACATACATACCTACATTTTTTTGTTTAAAGTTGCATGTCTAAAAATTATTATTATTATTTACTAAATAGTAAATTAAATTAAAAACTATAAAGTAAAACAATTTAAAATATTAAACCAGTTAATATTTATAAAAAAAAAAAATATTTATACTAATGTCATAATGTTTACTTTTTATAAGAGTAGGTAATTTAGAAAATAATTTGGATTTTCATAGACTTTATTTATATCATTATATAAATTATAAATAATATGCTTTTCAATCGCCATCAACATGAATGACTCCAAGTGTTCTGGTGTCATTGCATTTTTTAAATATTTTAAAGTAAAAAATAACCTTTCACATTATGCTACTTGGGTTACTGATAAACTTAGTAAAAACTGTTAAGTCATTGTTAATGTAGTATAAGCATTAAGTAAAGTTTATACTTATTAATGCATTATAACAAATTCTACAGATTTTATATGTTTTACATAGTTTTGGTATGACTTTTTTCTCATGTTCATTTTCTCTGACACTATTCAAGTAGAAACATCTTCAAAAAATTTATCATCCACAGGACTACATTATATTCATTAACATAAGGTTTTAACTTTTACAGTTCATTTAGCAATATCAAATTTAGATAATCCATTCATAAATTAATCAAAAGTAAAATCAAACCAAAAATGTGTGTTTGACACAAGGGTATCAAAAGGTTCACTATCTTTGGACTATATCTATGGATATTCAATATTATATAATATCCGTTTTGTTGTTAAAGTTAAATTCATTATTATAATAAAATTATTTATAAATTATAATGAATACTAAATTGATACATTTTAGTATAACATCACGTACGTACATATTATGTACAGTTAACTTTAAGATTATAAATTCGATTGATTTTAAGAGTCATTAAATATTATTTGAAATATATTGAGCATTGATTATATTAATTATTATTTAATGTTTGAATAATTTGTTTTAAATTTATTTGGCGCAGAACCGGCCTATTTAGTATCCGTCAGTAGGTACCGGCCAATTTGGAAAAATTCAATTTCCAGATAGGCCAATCCGCCCTGGCACTGACGATTTGGTCGCGTTATTGGCTATTCTATGCTCGTAGGTTTCTACCTGTTTACTCAAATATACCACGGCTTTATGACGGCGCTTGTGGTGGCAAATACAAATACAACGATTTCGAATGGGGGTTTTAACAACATTTTCCCCTAATTTTATAGTTTTTTTTTTTTTTTGTTTTTCATTATTTTAGGACATGATTTTTTTAAAACTTTCTACCTAGTTTAAAAAGATCAGTTTTGGAGCGATTTCAAAAGTGTTATACCAAACATCAGGATGTATACTAAGGGTACCATACTGATAAGGAGGTGTCAATAACGTTATTAATCTGTGATACATGATAAGACGTGATTTCAGTCACAGTGGTAACCCACTATACCAGAAACCGGGTAAGATACATTTGATTCCCGCCAATACCGATCATTTTGAGTACTTTTCAATTTATTGATTTTAAATTCCGAATGGAGAGAAGAAACTTATGATTTTTTAAAGTTGTTTATTTTTTTTTATCTTTGCGCAATTTTGCTATTAGAAAGCTTGCTCAGATTTTTAAATATTGCGCCTTTTCTGAAAGGAAATTGGTGTGGATAAGTACTAAAAGGAGGTCATTTTTCGATTTTTCAGCAGTTTTCTCATAAAATTTGAAAATTTGAAAAAAAACTGAAGGAAAACGGGAAAATGTAAGAAATGTATGTACCTTTTAGTTAAAATATATTAAGATTTTTTTTTTCTGTATAAAACTTTTCTAGCAATTTTGCTCTAATTTATAATGATGGCAATGTTTATAAAGTAAATCCGACTGGGGAGGTACTTTAGAGAGGTAATTTTTTGATTTTTCGTTTTTTCGAACCGGGAAAAAACATGAAAAAAGCGTAAAAACGTAGGAAAATCGGTAAAACATTAAACAAATATTATTAGTATAGGATATACATTTAAATAATGTAGAGTTATCTGACAATCGATTGTCAAGTCGAAAATTTGACCTGACGGTGCCATACGTAGGTATAAGTGTAGGTATTGTACATAAGACATATCTGTGTAGGTATAGGTATGATTGTAAAAAAGTCATCTCTAGTAGAAAAACTCATAATTTTAAAAAATGACTGTATAATACTTATAATTGTCTCTTTCTCTCTCTTTCAAGTAGGTAGGGAATATTTTAAACATTTGTCAGCGACACTTAAATATGTCAAATTTTCGAGATATCACTCTTGGTTTATTTGAATTATTTTCATTGTATTAGTGTTGTTCAAAAGATTTTGTTTTTCTATAATATAATCTACATTTTAATATTAATTTTAAAAAATCTGTTTAAGTAGGCATAATTTTTCATGGAGATTATAGGGAAATTATTTATTACACTAGTAAAATATTATTTTATTTTTAACGGGTGAGGCCATATTTTACATAGCTTACATATGTGCATAGTAAACTATAACAGTAAGATTATACTTGCAGTTTGATGAGTAAGATTATAATATATATTTATTATATTATTGTTATTATTAAATTATAGGTATTATAATATGTAGGTACTTATATTATTGGCAATTTTCAATGGGTGGGTCAATATTTCGGAGGCTCTCCTCTACATTTTTAATACTAAAAAAAAAGTTCGTTATAAGCAAATTATAACTATAAATATATACCTAATCTAATAATCATCGTATCTTATTGATAGATTAATTTTTTCATGATTATATTTTTTATTATTTATACTATCTTTCGGAAAATATACACAACAAATATAATATTGGTATGATGATGATACTGGTAACAGGTACCTAATAAAAACATAACAAACGTCTGTGAAATGATAAAATATTTTTTAATTCTTATATAATCCCAGAAGCTTCACTATTGACCGTTAATTCGACCGTTTAAGTTCAACATTATAGCAACACGAGGGATTCCAATCGATCTTGTTTCATAGTCACGTATTCACATGAGTCAATTTATAAAGCACTCATCCGCATGAAAAACTTATCCAGGGGTAAATAGGATAAGGTTCAATATTGAGTATAACATATTCGTGTAAATATCTACTAATTCAGTCTTTGTTAATATAACGATCGGAAAAAGCTACATGCAATTATTATTACAGAAACCTATTTGAACATTAATTTTGTAGTTTTAAAAACTGAAATTGAATTTTCATGTATTATTATAATAGTTATTATATATTTTTTGTTTCTTGACATTAGGGCGTGTCTTGGCATATTCGGTAGTTGGCAAACCCCCTAGTTCCACCTACGTATAGTCACACCATTAGTGGGTACCTACCCTACCATTGATAAAGGATTTTGTAAAACTACCTACACACCGAACTTTAATACACAAGATTCTGCTACACGTTATCGACAACACTAATATTGTTTTAGATGCTCCACATATTGCTAAGGAATGTTTAAGTATTGTTTTTATTATAATGTTTGTTTTTTTTTGTGTCTGTAAAACTGGAAAAAATACTTTTCAAATTGTATTTAAAAACAAATACATTCATTCAGAAAGTATTTCAAATACTTTTAATACAATTTTTTTTTAAGAACAAATATAAATACTCGGCATGTATTTAAATACTTCTCAAATAATTTTTTAATTTTACTTAATAGTTAATTAATTCATGTAGGTTAATTTTGAAATGTTTAACATAAAATTCAATACTGCAATAATTTAATACTTTGATTGAATTAAAACAATTTTTTGAAATAGGAATTATATATTTAGCATGCCATAATCATTTCTAAAATATTGTATTGCACTTAAACATCATGGTTTTTTTAAAGTGTTAATGTGAAAATGTTTATTGTAAGCCTTCCACGGTACTACGGAAGTTTAATTTCTGTCTCATTTATTACTACACTGTCAATTTGCGTTTGAATTTGTTATCCACGGGTTTTAATGATAATTATCTAGTATTTATTTAAATTGAATTATTCATTTATTTTTACCTGATTGCTTATTTTAATTTATATTTATAGTTTTATACATAGACTGTACTGTTAAAAACATGTTGTGTTTTTTATCGTATATACCTATATATAGTGTGGCAGTCATGAGAAAAAAAAGACAAATTGCAATTTGTATTATGTGGAACTAGTCATCCCCGACTGTTTTCCCATGTGTGATTAGTGAGCTACAATGTCCAACAGCTATAGTACCTATGTAGATTGTGTTTGAAGATTGAATAAAAATACAATCGCGTTAATATTATTTACTTAAAACGCGTAATATGTGTATTGTAATGGAAAACACATACGTAAAGATGTAAAAAAGACGTACCTAACTCGTTTTGTCGACAAAATATCTGCGATACCAATAAGGACTTGTGTACTTATAGGTACCTATACACTATATATTGACCGTTTTTATCCTTTTTTATATCTATATTTTTCCTATAAAATAGTTGTAAATGTATAATGCTTCGTATTACCTATCTGCATACCTTTGGCTTTAAAAAAAAACTACATCTACCTTCTTTATACATAAAAATAAAAAACAATCACGCAGCGACTGAGCAACTATACACTGTTATAAAATAATAAGTAGTGGTACTCGCTCTTTGCTCACCGATTTCTTCGACCTTGAGTGAACTTATTATATCACATTAATCTTCGGTATTAAATTATTCATAATATTGTGCTTAATAACATATTTATATATTCATAATATACGTTTACGAAAAAGAACGTAATGTAGAAAAACCAACTATCGCGTTGCCTACATAGG